CGTGGCGTTATCTTAGCACCCGGCCGCGCGAAAAACACTCCAGTTCTATTCCTGCGGGTGTCCTAGGGATTCCTAAGGATTTATCTAGGATTCTTGAGGATTCCCTTACGATTCCTGCGCCTTCCTAAAGTTTTCTGTGGATTCCTCAGAATTCCAGAAGACTGCTTTAAATCCCTAAGGGCTCGTCACAAATTCCAGGGGATTCCTCATGAATGTTAGGGTTCCTAAGGATTCCTACAGGGTCCTCAGGATTCCGGAGGATTCCTAGAGATTCCTAAACATTCGTTCTCCTCCTTTTCTTCCTCCTCCTCCTCCTCCTCCTCCTCCTCCATCTCCTCCTCTCCTTCCAGTGTTTCAGACTTGTGAGCGACGCTTCCATCTCATCAAGAATCCAATCTGGCCTGGGCAAGACACAGGACAATCTGCCGACGATCCGTTCTGAATCAACTGGAAAGGCTGCGAAACGTGGGGAAGCTGAGAAACCTGGGAAAGCTGAGAAACCTGGGAAAGCTGAGAAAACTGAGACAACTGAGAAGCTTTCCCTGCTCCTGCTTCTCCTCCTTTTCCTGTTCATGTTCCTTGTCTTGTTCCTCCTTCTCCTCTCCTCCTCCTCCTCCTCCTTCTCCTCCTCCTTTTCCTCCTCCTCCTCCTCCTCCTCCTCCTTTTCTCTCTTCTGATCTGCTGGCCTCTTGGAAGAGATTTCTCATTCAAAACCCTTCTAGAAATTGATGTTCATCGGCCGTCCCAGGGGGAGGTCCACGAGAGGGTATCCCGCCCCCCCCGCACCGTGGCGTTATCTTAGCACCCGGCCACGCGAAAAAAACAATTCAGTTCTATTCCTGCGGGTGTTCTAGGGATTTCTAAGGATTCATCTCGGATTCTTAAGAATTCCCTTACGATTCCTGCGCATTCCTAAGACTTTCTGTGGATTCCTCAGGATTCCAAAAGACTCCTTTAAATTCTTAACGGCTCGTCAAAAAAGTTCGTGGGTGGAGGAGAGGAGGAGGAGGAGGAGGAGGAGGAGGAGGAGGAGGAGGAGGAGGAGGAGGAGGAGGAGAAGGAGGAGGGCTCCTGGTGCCATGTAACGCTTCCAGGGTGCGGAAGGGTTATCGATTTGCCGGAAGGGGGGGGGGGTTCTTAAATGCTTCCTGCGGTTACTCGGCTGTGTGATTGACGATCTGCCCCAAAACAGACACACTGGAAATTGGATGATGTGACTATGGACTTTGCGACGCAGGTTGGGAGTGGCAGTGACCTACGAAAGAGGCGATGTGCATGGGCGCCCTCGCCTGACTGACAATCTGAGCGGCAAATGGAATGCGAGACACAGTGATATGCTGTCCGCATGGCGTCGAATGCTCACTGAAGCAGGCGGGGCGGTCCTGGGCTGGAGCGTGGAACGCGTGCTTCGACATACACATTTCCCTGTCCCACCGGATGATGCTGAGAAGCTTGACCTTGTTCTTTCCGGACTAAATGCGGCTCGGGGGCGCCCGCTTTTCTGCGATGTCATTGTTGTCTCACCGATCTCCCGCACAGGCAGGCCACGTCCTGGAACGAGTAATTGGAGGCAGGCTCCTAGAGGAAACTGAGACGCGAAATGATGACACATACCATGAGGTCCAAATTTCAGGCCCGGGAATTTTGCACAGCTTAGGGGCGGAGGTGTACAGAAGGTGGAGCACCCAATGTGTTGAGCTGGTGCTGGCGCTGGCGCGAGAACGCGCGAGGATCCAGCGCGGGACGGCATTGGGCTTGCAACATAAGGTGGGGGTCGCCTTGCAGCGGTGCGTTGCGCACAATGTTCTCAACGAGTGGGCAGACCTGCCACGCGAAGTTCGTGAGCCAATCATGCCAATCGCTGAGTTGCAGCCTTCCCCTCTTCCCTCCTCCTCCTCCTCCTCCTCCTACTCTTCCTCCTCCTCCTCCTCCTCTCCTCCTGCTACTCTGCTTAGCCGTGCGCTCTGGCTTCGCAATGGCTTGGTTTCATCCTGTCCTGGTTTGCGGGGCGGCGCTCGGAGAAGCGAGATCGATGCTGCGGTCGCCGAACACACGAACATGTGCGTATTTCATAACATTGCTTGCGCTTTCTTCCGACCTATGAGTCGCAACCCCTGGCGGAAGTCGACGGGTAAATAAGCTTTTGATGGTCGCGCTTGGCCGCCTTCTTGGAAGGGCGCGTGCTAGGCGACGAGGCTGCAAACCAGAGCGGGAGAGGAGGAAAGAGGAGGAACAAGTGGGATGAGGAGAAGAGGAGGGACGAAGAACACGGTGCTCCGAACCGAAAAATTCCCCCCAAACACCCGGTAGTATACTGCACAGGAAAAACAAAACAACATGTCGGGAAAGACAAAAACAGAAAAAAAACACCAAATAACAAAAACCCATACACAAAACACAAAACAATACCGGCTTAGGGCCCGAACTGCCAAGTCCCACGGAAACAGGAAAGGACTTCAGTATGATCGGGGGACGGAAACTAGACATATCCAGTGATCTTTGGCCACACCCATCTTGAACCCAAGAGCTGTGTAAGCCCAGAGGGCGTGGCATTTACACCATTATTGGGTTCATCGTGAGTTTGGCAAAAAAGCGGATATGCGTAGATCGCCCTATAATATTTCTTGTTGCCTTTTCTGTGTCTCTGCCTTTTTCCATGGTGCGATCTAGGTTGCGCAATCGGCACGGCGCCCTCTGGCGGCCATTCCCTGACTGAACAATTCACGGCAGCCCAAACAACAAGAACAAAAAAATGTCGCCCGGGGCTTCTTGTCCTATTTCGACAAGTATCCTGAATTTTGAACTGCATCTGGGAATTTGGAAAATCAACCGGGAATCTTGAACCGCACCTACCCTCCCCTCCTCTGTCCCGTCGTCGTCGCAGATCTCTCTCTCTCTCTATTTTTTCTGTCTCTCTCTCTCTCTCTCTCTCTTTCTTACACACACATATATATATATACACACACAGATATTTGTCCGCCCCTAGGCCTTCTGTAGGTAGTCCCACGCAGGGGGGCAAACGCGCGCGGGGCAAGCAGTGGCAGGACGGGGGCCGAAGGAGAGGGCGGGCAGCTTGGTGTTTGGACCTTTCCACGGCGCCTCCGCCTCTTCACACACACATATATACGTACGTACGTACGTTATGTATTTATGTATGTACGTATGTATGCATGCCTGCATGCATGCATGCATGCATGCGTGTATGTATGTATGTATGTATGTATGTATGTATGTATGTATGTATGTATGTATGTATGTATGTATGTATATATGTGTGTATCGATGTGCACATATATGTAAATGTATGTGTAAAGGCAAGTATGCCATTCATTTATAGATGAATGCATACGAGTGTCTGCGCATGTGCATGTGTCAATGTATGTTTAAGAGGTGATGCCAGTGGTACAAGGCAGTCCTCCGAGGTCGAAATCACGATGCTCGTTTTTTCTCAATTCTCAGCCCCTGGAGGGCCTTCCTGCCCCTTCTGGCAGGAGGCCGGCGCGGCTCTCTCGGCGCCAGCACCCGTCACCTCCTGACTCGGGAGGTGGGTGTCAGGCAGTGGCCGCCAGCCGCCGCTGTCTGGGCACTGTGGGCTAGGGCGTTGGGTCCCCCAAAATACTCAGACTCATTCGTACTCAGAGCCACTCTTCCTCACTCAGACTCAGTCGTAGCATCATCTCACTCCGATCCGCTCACACTTCGACGCACTCAAGTGGAGACTCACTCGCACTCAGACTCAAGCGTGTCGCGCCGAAGCGTGGTGGGCCAGAACCGGCGGCGCGACACGCTAAGCAAGCGTTCCCAACCGCATGCTCGAACCTTGTGTGCAAACGCCAGCCACCGCTCGGGACAAGCGGCGAACAGGGCGGCCACGGCCGACCACCGGACGAACACCCGGGCGAAATCCTGCGCAACTCGGCCAACGACAGGCAGGCCCCCTCGGGAGCCCAGCCAGCGCGCGTGGCGGCCGCGAAGGCGGCCACGGGCGAGCGAGCCCACGCACGAGGCGGCCGCGAAGGCGGCCACGGGCGACGACCGATCGACACCTGGCTCAGACTCCCTCTTGCATGTGGCAATCTATTGCTCACCGCGGTGTAGCAGGCGTGGCACGTGGGCACCCCAAGGGGGAGCCGCCAGGGCTGGGGCCACTCCAGGATTCGCCCCCAGATTGTGAGGATGTCTAAGGCGGTTGGCCTGTTCCTGTGCCCCAGACGTTTTTTCTCCTTTGGTGGTAAAATGTTCGCCGCGATATGGCAGGCGTGGCATTTGGGCCCCCCAAGGGGGAGCCGCCAAGGCTGGGGCCACTCCAGGATTCGTCCCCAAATTGTGAGGATGTCTCTCCGCTTCGCTTCCGGTGCAACCCACCGCTCGCTTTGACCGGCGCCTAACCGTCTCGCTTACCCTAATGCCCGTGGATTTTCAAAGAATGCGCGGATGTCTCAGTCGGTTGGCCTGTTTCTGCCCCCCGGACTTGTCTCTTCTGGTGGTCCACTGTTCACCGCGGTACAGCAGGCGTGGCATTTTCAAGGCCACGCTAACGGCGATGTTGCTTACAGGTGATGTTGGGAACCAACTTGCAGGAACTCACGAACCACACCTTCCCGCATTCCCAATGTGCAACTGTATCGAACGACAACGACACAGCGAACTGCAGGAAAGCACGAACCACGCGTTCCCACAGAAGCGAAACCTGCGTCGCCGTTACCTGCATCGCCGCTAGCGTGTCTACGGCATTTGGGCACCCCGAGAGAGAGCGCGTCGTCGCCGTCGTCGTCGTCGTCCAGGGCCAGCATTACGTTGGGCCTGTCTCTACAGAAGGATTTTAGGCGAAACGTATAACATATTTTGAAACAGATTCCAAACATGCTCAACCATAATCAAAAATCGTCCCCTGACTATTTTTTGACTATTTGGGAATATTCCTCCAGTAGAGGGACAAGCCCGGCTTAACGTCAGCATCGGCGTACGTCGTCGCTGGCGGCGCTTTCGCCCGCGCGCGCGGCGGCCGCGGCTGCGGCCGGCGGGCCGCCGGTGGGCGTGGCCGAACGCCCGTCCCCAAGGGCCGTGCGGACGCGGTGCAGCGCGCCCGCCACGCGGGCGGCGGGGACGTCGGGCGGCGGCCCACCACCTGGGTCGGCTCTGTCCGCTGCGCACCGACGCCGGCGTGGGCCGGGCGACGACGACGACGACGACGGCGGCCGACGACGACGACGGCGGCCGACGACGACGACGGCGGCCGACGACGACGACGACGACGACGACGAACGCCGGACGCAGAGTTCCACCGCGACGCCCGCGTTGGTCTGGCCAGGAGATCTCAGGCGCTCGGTCACGGAGGAAATGTAACCAGTCACAGACGTGCTCGCGTTGCTAGGAGATCAGGGCGGGAGGTTTTTGGCACTTTTCGAATCTGGCTGGGGGGCCCTTGCCAAGCCGTGGGGCCGTTAGAAAACGGCTCCAAAGGTAAATCTCGTCCTGGGGAAGTGAGTGGTCGGGACTTCAGGGGACTTCGCATGAACAAATCACGATGTCGCATGTCTGGGGTCATCGTGCTACTGGCAGGAACGCGGACCAAGGAGCGAAGGGGTTTTTCTGGCCACGGCTAGCCTTGGCCACGAAGGGGCTCCCCGACCTAGATCTGAGCGACGGCACGAAAACCAGAGCCGCTCCAAAGCGTTCCTTGTCCCAACGCGCTGACAATACACGGGGGATGAGGCACCGTGCGTCTCGCCAACAGCCTTTGGGCGCGCGGTGGGGCGTGTGGCTGGAGCTCAGGGGCCGTTTGGGGCACTTTTAGCTCCAATGCCTTGCAATCCTCCATCTCCCACCCAATTTTACCACCATCCCCCTACGGTGGAGGCCAATCCACAAGAAACCTTTTTATAATATGCCCAACCCTGAGGCACCAGGAAATCCATTGATTTGTGGTGTGGGAGCGTCACGATTTCCTTCGCAAAACCATCGAAACCCAAGAAACCCAGGGCACCCTGGAGTGCCCACAAAATGCTTCTTGGCATGGGTCTCCGCTGTACAAAGCGCTCGGCGATCCTGGGCCCAGCATCCCAGGACATCCGATGTCCTGGCAGCGCGAGTCCTTCGAAGAATTTCCTCTCCGAGAACTTTCGGTCTGGGGCCCGTGCTGGGCCCCCTGGGGCAACCAAAGACGACTCAGGATGATAATCCGGCCCATCAGGAGGAGGAGGAGGAGGAGGAGGAGGAGGAGGAGGAGGAGGAGGAGGAGGAGGAGAAGGAGGAGGAGGAGGAGGAGGACGAGGAAAGGGGGGGGAGGAGGAGGAGGAGGAGGAGGAGGAGGAGGAGGAGGAGGAGGAGGAGGAGGAGCATTTTTTTGGGTATTTTGTATATACTAAAAGCCCCCGATCCCCTGGTGGTGACTCCATTGTTTCTAAGTTCCGTCCAGGCCTTGCAGATGGCAGCGTGCCGCCTCGAATGGAACCTCAGGCGTGCGTGGAACGCCTGCTCCACATCGGCACTGCTGCCAGTTCGCACAGACGAGTGTGCGTGAACAAAAGCATCACAGCAGCTTGCATATCTGAGCATTGCAGAGGGAGAAGGGGTGAGGGAGGAGGTGAGAATTAATTCAGAGAGCCATTCATCATCACCAGGGGCATGGAAAAGGACCAAGATGGGATACACAAAGAGCACGGAGCCGCTGACAGACAGAGTAATGTTTAAGATCGTCATACTCAACGCCTGATGGGGCTTCACAGCCGAAGATACAGCCTCTGGGGATACAGTGGGAACTAGACGTGGTGCAGATACCCCGACACGCATCACGTAGGACAGCAATCCCAAGATACGCCTGATATTTCTTAGTAATAAAGATCCCCTGGACCAGGAGAGCAACAGTACCAGGAGAAATCCCAGGACGCCAAGCCTGAATACGCTTCAGCAAACCAGTTTCGGGGCAGTCCTTGAGGGCGACGGGCAGGGAGAAGCGAAGCTTGCGATAAAAGTAACGCTGCATGCTCTTGCTGTTAATGTCCTGCGGCAGCGAGGCATACATGTTGGCATAAATCGTTGCCGTCTGCTGGATAGCCATCAAGAAACTCCTCTGCCACCATCCCCTCCTCCCTCTTGCAATAATCATCTCGTCCCCCTCCCTCACTTGCTTCAAGTGCTCCAGCGTTGGCTGCAGCACAGTGCACTTGGCGAGTCAACGTAACTGACTAGCGTGGCCGATGCTCTGCAGGCCGGGAAACTCAATGCTGACGCCAAGAGTACGCAAACCACTGAGCATGTGCTTCGAGAAGCTGTGCCGTGGGGCTGCGTTCAGCAACTGCATCACACGATCATGACTGGCAAGCAACGCAGGTGAGGGGTCATAACATTGTAAGGTAAACTGGAGCTTGGAGAGGCAGAGCGACTGATAATAATAAATGGACAGCGGAAGACCAAAACCCTGCTGCCGCACTGCACGATATCGCCCCGCAGTGGCTGGAATAACTTCATCCCGCGCGTATTGTGCAGCTTCAGGGCCTATGTGGATGCCTAAGTACTTACAGTGTTTCACGATGCACAGGAGCGAGAAGGGTTCACCGAGGTCTTTGCACGCACGCTGGAGCCGCACCACTTTCGCATCACCAACGAGGAGGATAACACATTTCTTAAGGTTGAGCTTCAAACCGACGGCCCCCTCCAATAAGGTAATAAGCTGAAGAAGAGGAGGAAGATCAGACAACACATTGCTGAGCATAAAGAGCCAGTCGTCAGCATAAGCTAACATACGGTGCAAGAATCGACCACTACGCCAGACAAGCCACTGGGTTATGGGATCCGTAGCCAGAGCAAACAAGACCATCGAGGCTGGGTCCCCTTGCCGAACGCCACGCTCAATCCGGATTTTAGTAAGCCTCCTCCCCCCAAGGGTAATCCATGCTGAATTGTCATCATGCAAGCGACTGAAAAACGAGATAACTTCACGTGGGATAGCGAGACGAGATAACACCATGGGAATCCAGCGCACAAAGATCGAGGGGAACGCAGCCGAGAAGTCAGTGAGGAATTCGGCAGCATGCTTCTGACCAGTGCCCCACATCTCCACCCCCCGCGCCTCCGCCTCCACAGTGTTAGCTAATATGTCCCTCCCTCTGGTCCCTCCTTTCTGACGCTCATGTACGGCAGCTGCAGCCACTTCATTCGGCGGCTGGGTAATAGCCAGCGAGAGGGCTTTGCAGTCCGTGTCGGAGAGGGCTAGCGGTCTGGTACATTCGGCTGAGCGAAAGGCACCAGCAGCCGCGTCATTCGGGCTCGAGCCCTTTGGAAGGAATACAAGCAACATCTCCTGCATGCTAGACGGCATGTTGGTGCTCAAAGAGTCGAACATATATTCGTATACGTCATATCGAATGTCATGGGCATCACTATCTTGCCAACGCGAATGTGGTATGCCGTCTGGACCAGGAGCAGTGTTGCGCCGTGCAAGTATCATATTGTGAAAGCTAGGCCTGGGTCCTCAACCAGCGGTACAAACCCAGGAATTTCATCCCAGAGCTCACGATCGACAGGAGTGGCTTTGAAAACCTCGGACCAATGGTCGGCCAGGACCTTTCCAGACTCCTCCAGGGACCCACAGGGGGAACCATCAGGATCCAGGACCCCAATAAGATAAACTCGACGACGAAGTTTAGACCAGAGTTCACGTTTCCGACGATATCGCGCAATCTGATGCTGGATCCGGGCCTCTTCCGAAAGATCGTCAGCTACGCGGGCTTCCAGCCCGTGGAGCTCATCGTCAATCGCAGCCTGCTGCAGCAAACGCGCGTGCTCACACAACTGCGAGAGGTCGTTACAGGTCTCCGTTTCGACGTCAAAGAAGGGGGGGGGGGCGGCATAAGTAGGGAGAGCGGTAATGCGCATATGAAATTTGTGATAGCGTACACCACGGAGCGCATGCATCGTCCACTAGTGTTTTTCCTCATGTGTGCGTGCAGGACGATGTTTGATACGTGCGCGTGCAGACTTAACTTGTTCATGAAATATACACTTGGCAGCAGCATGACGCTCGAAGGGCCCCAATCAGCAGAGATCTCCATAAGATGCTGGCGGGCGAGGGCACGATATTCGGGCGAGCGCGCAATAACATTCGGGATGACAGGCGAGCCCTCCCACGGAACGTAACGCTGGAAAGTGACCACGAGCGGGCGATGATCGGATGGTGTCTTGCCGCCCAGGGAGCCCCAGACCTTAGCCTGTGTGGTGAGGTCCTGCAGCATGGCACTGGGCATGTCTGAGTACAACCGATCAAGCCGAGAAGAGTGCGTCTGCCTGGCGTTGTCCCGCCCCTGCCGAGTGGGTTCACCCTGCACAAACTCTATCCAGCTGCCGCAGAGCTGGTTAAATGCGTCGTGGTGCAATCGATCGCCACTATGCCATGTACGACCATCATCTCCCATCCTTCCCTCCTCCTCCAAAGCGAAATTCCAATCCCCCCCGATCAAGTTGAAAGAGACAGTGGCCGGCGGCAGGGCGGCTAAAATGGCGGACAGGATGCGGCGATAGAGCGGTGTGCCATCACTTGTGTTGGGCATATGACAATTGACGATACACATCATACCATGCTTACCAATGCAGCGTGAGAGGAGGACGCGACCAGGGATGACAGGAACTTTACGAATGGACTGGAAGTGAGAACAAAACTGCTCATGAAGGACACTGGGGGCACCTCCAGTGTTGGCTTCCGCATGCGAAGAAAAACCTACGCTGCTCCCACGAAGCTGACGCTTGACCTCCTTAGCGCCCCCCAGGTGCCCATGGGTCTCCTGTGCGCACGCAATACTGTAGCGTTTAGCTAGAGACAGGAGTTGTGAATGTCGACGCGAAGCTCGACCACCCCCACCTCCCACAGCCGCAAATAAACCTTGAGTGTTCCATGTTACGTAAGAAACCGCAGTACTCGGTAAGACCGGAGAAGGGGCACCCGATAACGAAGACGTCGGGGAGTCGGAAGAGGAGGAGGAGGGCGAAGATGAATTGCTAGAGCTACTCGAATTCGAAGAAGTGGAGCTAGAGCTACTCGAATTAGAACTGCTACTATGTTGTGTGCTGTCAGGGCCGCTTCTAGACTCCTCAAAAGGGGCGGCGGGCGGCGACCTTGGCCGCCTGAATCGACGCATCGGCGTGAGCCTCAAGGCCGAACTCAGGAAGAGCGGCCTCCTCCAGGTCCACGAGGATGTCTTCGCTGACGTCACTGGCTGCGAGGTGGGCGATCCGCACAGGGTCCTCGGCCGACCTGAGGATGAAAACGTCGCCGCCGAGGCCGTTCGAACCTACCTGGAGCTGCGTGCTGGCCAAGAGCGTCTCCGCATTGTTGCGGAGCTTGCCCATGGCGAGGAAAAGGCGCCTGCTCTTCAAGTCGAGATCGCGCCAAGTTTGAGATGAAGCGGCTGACCGCCGCGAGGGTCCACGAAAGTCGTACCCTGATTGAAATTGGATAAGAAGTTAGTAGCCGTGAGCGCATCACCGAACTCGAAGACGGCTTTGCGATTCATGTCGAAAGCCTTGACGATGCACTTGTTGTGGTCCGCGATGGGCATGGCCTGGTTGCGCACCTGCTCCGCGGCACGCCTGAGGGTGGAAGCCATCATCGGCCTCGGGAAGCCCAGCAGCACCAGCCTGCATGCACCTTCTGGTTGATTGCCACTGCGAGCAGCCGGTGCCCACACCGACGAGCTGGCCGTGGTCGAACGGGTTGATTCGGGACTGCGCAGCCGACGACGAGAGCCCGGAGGGTACTCGACGGCAGCGGGAGGACGTTCAGCAAGCTTCTTCAGAGACTCTTCGATGTTCGCGACGGTGTTCTCGAGCTTGATCACCCGATCAGCACGTTGTGACAAGCCTGTCGCACCTTGCATGCTGGAGTCCGTGTCTTCTTCGAGGGCGTCGAGACGTGCCTCGAGGATGTCCATGCGAGCTGCTGTGGCATTGACGTATTCACGCAACGATGTTATGTTACCTCGCATCTCCTCACCCAGCGACGACATGCGGGTCTCAACATTCGTCATGGCCACGATGAGTGAGGCAGCCCATGGCGGGGTGCCCTCTGTGGTCATGGCGGCCATGGGGCAGCTGTGTGGTGCGAGAAGGCCTGGACGGAAGGATGCCGAACCGCAAAAGCGGGTGCACTGTGCACCTCCAAGCAGCTCGTGCCTGAATACTGTGGAGTCGCCAAGACTAATCAGGTTGCCTCGCAACTTCGTTGCTTCCCCCCGTTTAGTCTTGAGCCAAAAGGCTACGGAGGAGCATGAGGAGCATGATGATGATGATGATGATGATGAGGAGGAGGAGGAGGAGGAGGACGAGGAGAAGGGGGAGGAGGAGGAGGAGGAGGAGGAGGAGGAGGAGCAGGAGCAGGAGGAGGAGGAGGAGGAGGAGGAGGAGGAGGAGGAAGAGAAGTGGTCGAAGTCAGAGGGGCGACGTCACACTTGTGGGGCGAGGCGAGGGGGGCCCGACCTTGGCCGGGCCAAGATTTCCTTGGCCTGGGCCTGGGCCTGGACGGCGCATACACCGGCCTTGGGCCCAAGAGTCTGGGCATCCTAGACGGGGTCGGAGGATCGCGCCGCATCGCCGATACATCGGCGATGCATCGGCGATGTATCGGCGATGCATCGGCGATGCGTCGGCGATGTTGGCGATGTGTCGGCGACGTCGGCGTGGAGAGAATCGGACCCCGCATCGAGCCGCATCGCCGATGCATCGGCGATGCGGCGCGATCCTCCAACCCCCTGTGCTAGGACCCCGTCTAGGAGGCCTAGATGCACCGGCCTTGGGCCAAAGATGGGCTCTGCCAGGACCGGAAGCGGATGGACAGCCCCCTCCTCCTCGTCCTCCTCCTCCTCCTCCTCTTCTTCCCCCTCCTCCTTCTCTTCCTCGTCTTCCTCCTCCTCCTTTTCCTCCTCCTCCTCCTCATCTTCCTCCTCCTCCTCCTGGGCCCTGCTAGGATCGGCGTCGGTGTGCAGTTGGCATCGTCCGCCCGCCGCCGTCGCCCCGGCGAAGGCCGAGCAGCGTGGTGAGGCGGTGCGAGTCGTGGCCTCCGCGGGGGGAGGGGGCGGCGAGGTCGGAGGTCGAACTGCGAAGGCCTGCGCTGCTGGTTTTCTTGTCCCCTCCTCCTCCTTCTCCTCCTCCTCCTCCTCCTCCTCCTCTTCCTCCTCCTCCTCCTCCTCCTTCCCTCCTCCTCGTCCTCGTCCTCCTCCTCCTCCAGCTCTTTGTTGTATATCTGTGTTCGGTGGCAACTCAAAGGAGCCTCGCGTACCATCTTGTTGGCTCGTGCCAGTCGACGCTAGTCGACGCTAGATCGACGCTAAATCGACGCCAAATCGGGGATGGACAGAACCCCTCTTACTAAAAACGTGGTTTAGAACAAACGCACTCGGGCCCAAACCTGGAGGGCGCAAGCCTGGAAAATGAGGGCCGCGGCGCCCTCTCGAGAATCGAAAACGGACAATTGACTAATCGACGTGTCAGGGTGGGGGTTCTGTCCACCCCCGACTCATAGGAGCCTCGCATACCATCTTGTTGGCTCGTGCTAATCGACGCTGGTCGACGCCATGCCGCTGCTAAATCGACGCCAAACCGACGCCCACCGGCGATCAATTTGCGCGAACTCATCGACTACCAGACGCTAATCGACGATAGTGCGCTCTAAAGGCTGAATTTCGAGGGTACAAGGCTCCCATGATTTGAAACCGAAATCATCGTTTCCACCTCTTCCGCGTGCACCCATGCCGTCCACTTCTCTGCTACGCCAAGTGGAAATTCGCCCAGGCGTGACCTGACTTGGGGCATCGCGACGGTGCCATCAACTCGCCGCTGGAGGAAAACACATGTCGTTCGTCCTTCGCGCCCCCTTTGGGCCTCCGGGCGGCTCCTGGTGGACATGGCCGGATTCCCGTCGAACTTCTGGTCGAAACGCGGCCCCTGCCGAGATCGAGGAGATCAAGCTCCGAAGGCCAAGCATGTGCGTCCTTCGCACGCTTTGGGCCTCCGGGCTCAGGCCTCCTCCACGACAGGAACTGTCGGTCCTTCTGCCTCGGGGGGGGGCCCCCTCGCTGGGCCTTGGCGGGCCGTGGCTGCGCATAGTCCGATCGCCGGAGATCTGTGGCAGCGGGGGGCAGAGAGGTACGACTGCCGCTGCTCCTCGGGCCTCTCCAGGGGTGCGGTCCGGCCAGCATCTCGATGCGGATCCAGCCATCGCGAGGAGGGAACGGTCGTCTCATCAGTATGTTCTTATGCGCCGAGGGGCACCGGGCGTGAGGGAAATGAGAAGCTGCACACACATAAAGTTTCGGAACTCCGAGCATTCCGTACCAGCGCTTTGCTAGAGGGGTCTCGCGGTTGTAGAAAAGACAGCAGGACCATCTCACAAAGAGGGCGGCGAGCCTGAGATCGCCCTGTCCTGCAGCCGCTTCGCCTGAGATCTTCTCAGAGTTGACGCAGGAATGGGCGCGGTCCCTAGCATTAGATCGGTCATGTCCTCCTACAGGCGGATGTTGAACGAACCATTGAAACAATCGGATCAAATCAATATGCCGAAACACAATAGATAAATCGTCCCCAAACTATTTTGGACAGTGGAGGTCAGCCCACACGGAACCTTCCACAAGAACCCAACCCTGAGACCCCAGAACGTCCATTGATTTTTGGCGTGGGAGCGTCGCGCCTTCCACAGCAAGACCATCGACACCCACGAAACCCAGGGCACCCTGGAAGCAAGCAGGGTGTCTCTTGGCATGGGTCTCCCCTGTATGATGGCCCCGGCAATGATACCCCCCCTGGTCATCACCCACCCTTGTGGCCGCCCGTGAAGATTGGCTCAGGGTGCGTGCCAGGACTTCCAGAACAGGGAGAGGCCCCCTGGCAACGAATACATCGAGGTGAGCATGGGCGTGCTCTCGCTCCCGCCCTGGCCGCAGCTTCCCGTGGCCGGGGCCCCGCGGCCGTGCTGCTCCTTCTCCCCCCTGGCCCGTCTCCGGCAACTCTGCTGCTGCTCCTCGGGTAATGCGCTGGGGTGCTTATAAGATACCCGAAACGGCATACACACAAACATGAACTCTTGGCGGTCTGCGCGGGTTCTTGGATCTGAGTTGGATCCTGAGGTGCTGAGAGGCACCCAAAGCGGCACACGCATAAGCATGAACTTTTGGCGGTCTGCGCGGATTTCTTGGATCTGAGCTGGATCCCCCTCCCTGGCGCGCGGCGCGCGCCAAGGGCGGCGCCGGAGGCGCCGCCAGGGCGCTTCAGCGCGCAGATCCAAGAAATCCGCGCGGAGCGCCAACGATCTATATTTATGTCATTATTTCTTCTTCGAATATCGTTTATTGCTGCTTTGCCTTTTGTCTTCGAGCGAAAAACGGGATCTGGCCTTTGCGCTTTCTGTACAGGGGGCTTCCGGGCCACAACTCGATCCTCTGGCGGCTACTCATTGCGGACAGTTCTGGGTACCAACAAAGCGCCCTCGACGAGGCGCAGCTGATGGAGACCACCACGCGCCCCGAAAACGTCGCAAAATCACAAACCTCCGAGACAGGCAGCAGAATCGGGCGTTGGCCTCTGCGCTTCATGTAGAGGTAGGAGAGGGCCACAACCAAGGACGAGAACAGCCAACCCTCCGCGCCGCCCTCCGCGGCGTCCTCGAGCGGGGAGGGCTCCCGCTCCGGCACGTCGAGGCACTCGGCGAGGCCGAACGCCCAGAGGCGGTTGTCGAGGGCCCTCTCCAGAAGCTCGCGCAGCTGGTGCACGAACCTGGAGCAACGGAACAAACAGCAGCACCCCAGCAAGGCACCCCCAATGGCAGCAGAGGTGAAGAGGCGGGTCGAGGAGGTCGGCGAGTGAAGCCGCGCATTCCCTGGCAGTCCTAGTTCCTGAGGAGCACACGGCCATGTGCACCGTAATGCTTGTGGACTGCAAAGGGTCGCGGCCGTCTGGACCACAACACGTAGCCGCAATTGAGGTGAGAGCTCGGCTCCCAAATAAATCGTGAGGGAACGTCTGGCGAATCTGCAGACGGAACTGGCCGTCCAAGGCTCCCCGTCCCTCCCGTGGGACTCTTCTGTGGTCCGTGTTTACCAGAATTATCGGAGAAGACGATGAGGGTGGATAGCACGGCAATAGCAGCATGCTTTTGAACGCCCGAGTCGGGCAGCTGAAGATTTGAACAGGCGCGCGGCGCAAGGCTTGGATTGGCGCTGGGATGGCGCATCGAATGTTGCGGCGCCGTCGGTTCTAACCAGATGCAGCGGCGCGCGGCGCGACCACGATTCGATCGATGACGTCGACCCCTTCTGGCCGAGATGCCAGTGGTGACGAGGAGACATGAGCACGTACTGCGGTGAACGCAGTGGCGAGTCGAGCGGGAGGTTGCGTGGTCGGGGGACCTCGGTCACGGGCGGCACATCCACGCGGCATCATCCCCGTCGCCAGCGGGCCGCGACGGCACTCTTGTTTCCCCCTGCACTCAGAGCGGATACATGTAGCGGAAGCAGAAAGCATGAAACCCAACATGCTGCCCCGCGGAGGACCTACCACCGCAGCGCCCCGCCTCATCTGCGGCCCGCCTGGGCGAAGTGCCCCTGCGGCCACTCGTGCATCGCCTTTCCCTCAACGTAGCATCAGTGCGAAGATGCCGCGCTGCCCCGTGCCAACCGCGGTCTCTCGGCTTCGCGCTACCCGCAATGCGCGACACTGCGCTCGCCGCAATGACCGCCTCCAACTCCTTGCCGTAACGGACATCGCGACCAACGACACTGGGCGTCGCGGGTTCGTCCCGCGCGCTGGCGCATCCGATCTAACTCTTGCGCCATCCGATCTAAGTCTTGCGCCGCGCGCCTTCTCGAATTCCCAGCCCCCCCACTCCAACGTCCGATACAATGCTGCTACTGCCGAGCCCCGAAAAAAGTGACGCCCGCCCCTGGGATATCCACCCTCATCGTCTCCTCCGTTATTACAGCCCGATTGGATGCTGCTACAAATACCAGGTGCCGATAGAAGCGTCGCGGCCGAGGTTTACAATTCATTTTGGCGGACCCCTGGTGGCGGCGACGAACAATAACGTGCGGCACATACAGTGCATTGTACATCGGGCGCTCTGCCGTAGGGTACCCTCAGAGCCAAAGTCCAGGATTTTGTCGACTGGGCGGGAGGCTCTCAATTACAGCATCGAGTGGCTCTCCGTCCTCTCTTTTTTGGTTGTGGGATCCGTTCCCAACCAAGACATCGACGTCTTTACAGCAAAGGCGAGGCGTGGAACTGCACCAGAGCATCCGTGGGTCTTTGCTATGCTTACATTGTTCTCCTCGGCCCAACAAGTGCCGAGATGTTACGACGCCCTGCTCCTCATTCGGTAGTTACCGATGTTGCACAAGTGCGATGACGGATAACAAGAAGAAACGACGGTGCTCAAGACCTGGGAAGGCAGCACATCCAAACGTAACCAGCAAGTGGTGGTGTCGTAGACGTGTGCGTCATGGGAGATACCACGTTTAATCTCGAATCAGTTTTCTCGAGAAAGCCGGGAGGCAGCTGCTGGGGGCGAGGACACGAGCGTGCTGGGGGGAAAGGGAAACACTGGTGTTAAGTGTTGTGTCGAGCTGCGTGCTGCAGAGTGTGTGAGATTCTGCTACACTTCGCCCAGCGCGTCTCGTTTGCTGTCGGCAGGGATCTTATAATGCGCCCCCCGCGCGCACAGTCGGGGCCTTCGGGCCCGCGCGCGGGGGGGCGGCCCCCTCGGGGGCACTGGGCGCTGCGGCGCCGCCGGGGGGCCTCCCGCACATGGACGTGCTGAACCCGTGGCTTCCCCGTCATGCAGTACATGCCCGAGGCAATGTCCAATATCGTGTTCTTCGTTTCCGTGGATCCCGCACTATTGACCCTCAGTGCCGGCTCTGGGCAAAGATTTGCCGACCCTTTCAGCCTCGAACATCTTCCCCGCACTGTGACAACCCTCGAGCGAAACGCTCTCAGGGGATAGTATCAACATGAACTTTCGTAAATCCGCGCAGGTTGCTCGCATCGGCGCTGGACACTTGGGGGTACCACAGCCGTGCGGTGACAGACTGAGCGGTGACCTCGAAATCCCCAGAGACCTCACCAGATGGTCCGTCGCGTCACCGTTTTGGGACTCTGGAGGCCTCAAATGGCCCGAAGCCTCGGAGAACAACCCGAGTCGCCAAATCGCGCGGTGACCCCGAGTCTTCGCTGACTCGCAGCACGGCCGAGACACCTCTGGCGCGCGGAGCGCGCCAGGGGGGTCCAGAGCCAGACCCAAAGAGACCGTTTTCATTGAATCAGTGATAACCCGGATTATCCCGGGGGGGGAGGAGGGGGCCGACCGATAGCCTAACCTTCGCGCTGTGGGCAGCCCTGCATATGCCCGCGCCCCCCCACCCCGGACCTGCACAACCGGCAAGGTTAGGTTATCCTGGGAAGGGGGGGAAGGGGGGCAAGCCCGATAGACCGGGCTCTCGCCAGACCCTACAAAAACAGTCCAAAGACCTCTGGCCCCCTCCCCCTCCCAGCTCTGGGGCCTCCCAGGGAGGCCTCAGGCGCCTCACATGGCGCGCTCCGCGCGCCAACCACCAGGGCTCCGGCGCCGATCCTCGAAATCCGCGCGGACCGAATAACGTTTCTGCGTATGCCGTTTCTTATTGTCATTGGTATGTTCCTTCTTCCTCTTCCTCTTCTTCTTCCTCTTTGTATTTATCCTCTTCTACTCCCCCTTCCTCCTCTTCTTATTATTCTTCCTCCTCTGCTTTTGCTTCCTCGTCCTTCTTCGTCTGAGGATTCATCACCGTCTCTTCTTGCTACTCTTCTTCTCCCTCTACCTCTTCTTCCTCCTCCTCCTCTTCCTCCTCTTCTTCCTCTTCTTCCTCCTCTTCCTCTTCCTCCTCCTCCTCTTCCTCCTCTTCTTCCTCTTCTTCCTCCTCTTCCTCCTCTTCTTCCTCTTCGGGAACCTCCTGCCGCCACCCTGCAGGCCTGCCGGAGGACGCCAGCTCTGCCCGCACCGCATCTCAGGCCTCCGCGGGCGGCCGTTCCTCCACGATAAATAGCGGTCGCCCTGCTCGGCGGCCCCGGCGGATCTTTTGCCCGCGGCCGTCGCCGAGCGCGTTCCACTGCTCGCAAAGCAGCCACTCGCAAATCGCCTGGATCCTCCACGGGGGATCTGGGATACACTGCCCAGAGGCAGGCCTGTACATATCGGACGTTTGCGAGTAGGCACTTTGCGAGTAGTGGAACGCGCTTGGCGACGGCCGCCCAGGGGGAGCCGTCGTTGCCAGGGGGGCCTCGCAACTGGCCCCACGACGACTCGAGCAGGGGATCGACGATACGGAATGGACTTGCCCCCCCGAAAATTGTGGTTCTCGTCGGGTCTGCGAAGAATGCATCGAGAAGCGAACGTTTTCTGATTCGGCGTTTCGACATGGGGCAAAAGGGGGGGGTCTGGCTCCGGACCTCTGCTTAGTGCGACTGTTTGCAACAGTGCGTCCTTTGGAGGGGATTCCATCTGCTCGAAACAGGCGCCCAGAACAGCCAAGATCTACGCCGTGGCGGGGGAAAGAGGAGGGTGCGAGGGCCCGCGCCGCTTGGCAGAACAATGAAGAGAAAGCGATCACATCGATTGGCATCAGAGCTGCGCGTTCCGTCGAATCTGCGAACGCTGCCTCGAATGCTCCTTAGATCTACGGAGCATTCTACGCACTCGTCCGCAGATCGGGCGGACAGAGCCACTTGGAGGGTCGATCATGTAGTCTCGGGGGCGGCCAAGAGGGGGGCGTCCAAGAGGGGGGGAGCGCAAATCGTGGCCAGTGGCATGTGCGCGGCCGAGGGGGGGTGCCTAGGACGTATTGAAACAAGAAGAGACGCCATGAGATCTGGGGAGATGTCATGGCCCCAGCCATGATATCCACCCCCCCTAGTCATGACCCCCCTCTTGGCCGCCACGCATTTTGGGGAATCCAAAAGGTACTGATACCGCTACTCCCCAGACCTTTCCTGGGGTGCGTTCTGACCAGAATTTCGATGCGAATCCAGCAGTGGCGACGGGGGCCTCCCGGGAGGCCCAAAAATGGGGAAAACGATGGAGGGGTATAGGTGTGCCCGCCCCCGATAGTCGAACCCCTGCTCGAGTGAAACGTCGCCTCCCGGAAGGGGGGCTTTGAAGCTCTGCTGGGGACGCGGACGGAACGGCTCGCGCCGTCGGAGGCCTGGGATCCTGGCCGCGCCCATCCTGGGCCCGGGGGCGGGCATGTGCACGCCGCTCGGGGAGAGCTCCCCAGACGCATGAAGTAACGAGGAGGCCCGCTGGACTTCAAATCGCGGCACCGAGGGGAGGCAAGAGGAGACTAGACTTCGAGTGCCGAAGCAAAGAGGTGCTTGGAGCAGAATGGGAGCCTTGGGAGTACTTTTAAGTCGGGCCTGTCCCCCTACAGGTCTATTTTGGACGACAAAATTAAAAATAGTCAAACATATAATGAAATATTCAAAAATGGTCAAACAATGGTCGCCAGACTATTTTTTACTATTTTTGAATTTTCCTCCTGTAAAGCGTACTTGCTTTCGGCGAACGGCCTGCACGGTTTCCTGGCCTCGCCAGGGAGGCAGGTGACATTTCCCCGATGATGCCCCGCAGGGGACATGGCTCCAGACACGCAGTGCGACCTGGCGTGGCCTCTGGGGGCCACGCTTGGTCGCACTGTGCGGCTGGAGGAGAGCCCTGAGAGCCGACCTGGCTACAAAAATGCAGCATCGTAAAACATCGCGCCCGGAACCCTCGACCCCTCTTTCTGCGCCATGTTCCGGGCCGGAGCGATCTGTGGTGGTCCCGGGGCCCGAACACGAGGCGAAAACGCTGGGCCGGGGAAAATGGAGACGTCGAGATCTCTGGGAAGGACGAGGAGGGGAGGGCAAATGAGAAACGACAAGGGGGGGCAGGATAGTCCATCGAGTGCAGCAGTGCAACTGCCCGCGGCGCTGGCCCAGGTCTCGAGGCGAATCCAGCCGCGCAGACCAAGGGCGGACGCAGCGGCATGGGTACGTGTTCTCCCTCCTCTGACGTGTGGCCTCCCCTGGCGGACAGGGGCAGGGGTTCTTCAGTCACGTTCGTGCTGGGGTTCATCCTCGTATCCTTAGAAAGCCCAGGGTTCGCTAGAGACTTGTTTTCCCCTAGAACGACGAAAACCCTTCCAAAACCCTGTGTCAACCTTCCCGGAACCCTTCTCGCAGGATTTTCGGAGGGCTTCGGAAGGGTTTCGGCTATTTTGAAAAGAAACCAGTCCCTGGCGAACCGTGGACTTTCTAATCGTATTCACCTGCCTGCTGCAAGTCTCGCCACCGTGTCAGCGCGGGTCATTTTGTGTCGACGCTTGGAGTACCACCAGACGTCCGTACCTGTGATACTTCTCGACTCTATGCCCTGAGGAGCTCTCGTGAGGCGAACAGTGGAAATCCATGCCAAGAAACACCCTGCTTGCCTCCAGGGCGCCCTGGGTTTCTTGGGTTTCGATGGCCTTGCTATGGAAAGCGTGACGTTCCCACACCAAATATCAATGGACGTCCTGGGGTCTCAGGGCTGGGTTTCTAATGGAAAATTTCTTGTGGTCGAACTCCTACTGTACACACCAATCCCGGGCCCTGGATTGATCCGGCCAGGACCGGTGCTGGTAAATAGAGCTGTCGCTCCCCAGTGCTGGCCGAGCTGTACGGCACTGTTGATGGTGCCGAAGCAAGGGTTCTTCACGCGGTGCTCCACGATGGCCTGGTCCCGCTGCCAGTAGAACAGCCTGTGTGCGGCCCAGAGGTAGCCGTAGTGGTACGCGGTGGGGTTCGGAGGCCGCCACCCGTAGATCTGCTTGCCGGCCTGCCCCAGACCAAAAGATCTGGCCCCAAAACGCTCCATCTCGGCCCGCTTTTTCCGAGCCGCGTCCAGCCGCGGCGACCTAAACACCCGACGCCGATTTTTTTGGTCACAACGTGGACCCCGGGAGGTCTCGACTTTTTCCCTGGGGCCTGCCAAGGCCACGCTACCGGCGATGCTGGTCAACGGCGATGTTGGGAATCTGGTTATCGCGGCGCCCAACTCGCGCAGAACGAACTGTAGGAAATCACGACCCACATGTTCCTACGTTTCAAACACGCGATTCTATCGAGCGAAGACGACACGGAGTGGAGGAGACTACGAGCCAATCGAGTCGGCCACAGACCACCCCCACCTACAATGCCGAAGCCCACATTACAGGAGCAACAGACGACTTAAACATAAACATTTGGGGGTTCCGCGGAGATTTTTTGGGTCTGAGCTGGGCTCCCCTCCCTGGCGCGCGGAGCGCGTCAGAGGCGGCGCCGGAGGCGCCGCCGGGCAAGAAACTCAACATTTATGTTTGTGCCGTTCTTCGAACATCGCCGTTGCCCCTGCATCGCCGCTCACGTGTCTACGGACCTGGGACTGGCTGGTCACCCCCGATAATTCTGTCCACGGCCCTGGGGCCCCCGATAAGACGAGCACGAGCAGAAGCCTTGCGTCGCGTCTGTCCTGTCAGGAGACAGCTGCTGAGAGGTCTTCGTCGGAAGGGGGTCCAGCGACAAGGGGGTGGTGCAATAGATTTGGTGCAATCGATTCGTGGGGTTGCAATACATTTGGGGCGTGCAATATATTCCGGGGCGAAAATGTATTGCTGGGCGTGTAACACATTAATTGCAATCTAATGCAATACGTTTTCTCTGGCGCGATTCATGTGCAAGACAACTCCACCCAGTTTATTGCACCACCCACTTTCAGCTGGACCCCCTTTTGGGTCACAAAAGTATGTTGTTCCCATCGTGCTTACAGACCAGATCCCAAAAATACTTGCGGGCACCCAGGAGCAGCGTCGAACAACAGCGTCGAGCGAGTATGTCGCCTCCCAGGGCCCGACAGCGAAAACGCTTCGGCTGCGGTACTTTCTTGTGCTCGAAGCTCTTTCTGCTGGTCAGGGCTCAAGTAGGCTGGAACATCGTAAGGATCGGGTCGGGTCGGACCGCGAGCGGCCCGCCTTGGCCGCCAGGCCGTACTGCGCCTCTGGGCCCCCGGCGAGGCATATCCGATCCAACGGGCTCGCCCCTCCAGATCCTGGCAATCGGTTCGCGGCCCCAGACAGCAGCGTTCGGCAGGGCGTTCGGAAAACCGACGGAACTCCCCAGATTGTGGTGGTCCCGCCTCCTCCTCCTCCTCCTCCTCCTCTTCCCCCCCCCTCCTCCTCCTCATTTTCCTCTTCCTCCTCCTCCTCCTCCTCCCTTTCCTCCTCCTCCTCCTTCTCCTCCTCCTCCTCCCCCCTCCTCTTCCTCCTCCTCCTCCGTTTCAGCGGTGACCTCGAAATCCCTCAAAAAAAACATCGTCGCACAGTCCGTCGCCGCACGGTCTTGGGACCTCGGGGGCCCCAGCTGCCCGCGGCGTCCTAAAAGCGTTGCTTGTTAGGAGGCTCTGCTTTCGCGAAGCGCGGTTTTCGCGGGCACCTAATCCTCTATTTCCTCCTTCCTCTACGCGCGCAGGCCTGGGGGGCGGTGCCGCGCGTCTCGCGGCCCCCTTCCGGTTGGGGATTGATCGTCCCCGCGCAGTCGAGATCTGCGCCCTCCGTCGACACCACTTCCGTCTCCTCTCGACGTGGAGGACTTTCAACAATTCTGCGACGCTCAGGCGCCGCTTGTCCCAGAAGGACGCGCGCGGAGCTAGCGACCAGGCTGCTGGCGCATATCCCCATCTGGATTCGCGCCCGCGCACTGATCCGTCCGCGGCAACCCTGCAAAGCTGAAGTGTCGCTCATTCCCTTCGGAATGGCGCGGAGATTGCAGTTGTGCTGCCAGTGCGCGTCCTCATCTGGATTCGCGCCCGCGCGCCTCATCGTTATCAACAACCCTGTGACGTTCAAATGCCGCTCATTCCATTCGGGATGGCGCGGATCTCCCGGCTCGGCGGCTGGCCGGAGTTCTCGCCAGGATTCGCTCTAGCGCGCCCCGTCGTCATCAACAACCCTGTGACGCTCGGGCCATGTGGTGCGGCGCGGATCTCCCAGCTCGGCGGCTGGCCGGACTCCTCATCAGGATTCGCGCCAGTACGCCGCGTCGTTATCAGCAGTCCTGTGACGCTCAGGTGCCGCTCGTTCCATTCGGGCCCTATGACGCTCAAGCGCAGCCCGTTTGCTCAGAACTGCGCGGGGTGGGGCGTCGTCTGCGCTGCCGCACCCTACGGTTGAAGCTACAACAAGCAACGCTGTGACGCTCAGGCGCCGCCCGCTCGCTCAGAACTGCGCGGGGCAGGGCGTCGTCTGCGCGGGCGCGCCCTGCGACCGCGCTCCGAGCCAAGCAACCTTGTGATGCTAGGGGCCGCCTATTCGCTCGGCAGTGCGCGGGGCGACGGTTCTGGCCGGGTTGCTGCCTGCGCTGGCGCGCCCCGCGCCGGGGCATTGCGCGGAGCAGCCCTGCGGCGCTCAGGCGACGCCCGCTCGCTCAGAACTGCGCGGGTCTTCGGTTCCAGCCAGGGCGCCGCTTGCGCTGGCGCGCCCTGCAAGAGGCACCGCGCGAAGCAAACCCGTGACGCTCGGGCGCCGCCCGTTCGCTCAGAACTGCGCGGGGCAGGGCGTCGTCTGCGCTGGCGCGCCCAGCGGCTTCGGCTACAGCAGCAACCCTGCGACGCTCGGGCGCCGCCCGTTCGCTTGGAACTGCGCGGGGCAGGACTTCGTCTCCGTCGGCGCGCCCAGCATCCAAACGATCAACACTGCGGCGCTCAGGCGCCGCCTGTTCGCTCAGAACTGCGCGGGGCAAAGCGCCGCATGCGCCGGCGCGCCCCGCGACAGAAGCCGCCACTGCGCAGGGTTGCAGTTTCGGCCAGGCGCGGTCTGCACCGGCGCGCCTTGCGCGCGAAATTGGCCGAATAGAATGGCGCCCCCGCGCCGCCCGTTCGCTCGGAACTGCATTGGATTTCGATTTCGGGCGGGGCGAAAAGGGCACTGGCTTCCAGCCTGGGCGGATTTCAGCTATTTTCGAAAAGTCATTTGAAATGCACCTCCGTATTTAATTATACGCGCACGGGCGCGTTGTCCCCAGCCGCCCTGGCAATGACAAGCGGTGGCCATTTGCCTCAACTGGGCGTCCGCTCACGAGGCTTCTGCATGAACGAGCGTTGTCCGTCTGGCCGGAGTCTCGCGCTGCATCTGCATCTTCTCCGTAGCCGGTCTGGCTCAAGAGTTGGGCGATCATGTGCGCGTGAGCGATTTTGTCTCCGATGACGGCGGCCCTGCGCCTCAGTCCATGGCGCCGCGCCCTTGGGCGGGCCTGATCGGGCCCCTCCCTGCGCGGGGGCCTCGCGCCGCCTCTGGGGCCGGGCAGCGGGCGCCCCCTGCCGCCCAGTCCTCTGGCAGCGGCGCGGGCGCAGGGGCTCAGGCCCTTCTGTCCCTGATCGCCAGCAGCCGCGCCGCGCAGGGCGGGGCGCGCGTGCCCCGGGACAATGTGGGCGACAGGCAGCTGCAGGGGCCGAGGCTGGAGCTGGGCTTTCTGCCTGGGGATTGCGGGCCAGGCGCTCGTGAAGCTCGCAGGGGTGCCGCGGCTAACGTGCGCGCGTGCCTGGGCGGAGGCCAGCACGAGGCACCGCTGCGATTCTACTCTCCGCGGCATGGTGAGCAGTCTTGAAACGACCGCAGATATTATGATTCGGAGTCGAAACTCATGTTGCTCTTCTCTGGCCTTGTGTGCCAACCCTGGGGCTCTGTGTCGGCGGCCAACGCAGCGGTCAGGGCCTGACACGTCGAGCGCGACCTGCTACGCGCGTTCGAGGCCGCGTGGGTTCCCCGAGCATGGCATTTCTGGTGGGGGCTGAAGAAGGTTTCAGACCATGCTCTGGCCAAGCGATGCGACCGCTGTCCGTGGCGGAAGCCGCGGCCATGCAGCGCAGCCGCCTGGCGCAGGATTCACCAGCTGGTGTCCGGGACGCAGCGATGGTTGCATTGGCTTTCTTTGGCATCTGGCGTTTCTCTGAGCTCCAGGCGCTGCTAACGCGTGATGTGGTAGACTGGGGAGCAGCAGTCCCATGCATAATCAGGAAACAAAAAAACGATCCTTTCGGCGAAGGCCTTCTCATTTGGATCCCAGGGCTACCAGCTCTCGGGCCTTTGTGCCCGGCGAAGCGGCTTCGGGGCTGGGCGAGCCAGCGGACATAATCACGGGGGCAAGAGGCAGGTGTACTTGTCAGTGTGACGGGGGTCGCCGCGCTGAAACCAGTTTCCGCGGATAGTTTTCGACGCGTGCTGTCTCGCCATATCGTCGGCGCCCAGATCGGCAGCCACTCCCTGCGCAAAGGCGGGCCGCAATGGTGGACAAATTCCGCTCCCCTCCCTGGGGAGCCCGTGCAAGGCCAAGGAGCTTGGTCGAGCATAGATGTGATGCCGAATTTCTGCACCAATTTTTCCGCGGACACTCGCAAGCAACGCCTCCTCGAAGCCGCCCGCGCTGCATGTTCGGCGGCGCCCTTGCCCGCAGGCCGTTTGCCAAGTCTGGACGGGCCACCTGTCTGGCAGCTGCCTTTCTGATTGTGCTTCCTTCTCGTGGGATCCTGCGCTGCGAAAAACAGAAGGGCCTTCGTCCCGGCGGCAGGGTTGCGGTCCCTTCGGTTCGCGCGTCGCGCTCGCCGCCCAGTCTGTTTGCCTCGATGGGGTTGGTGGCCTCCCCTCTGTGGGTGCGCTGCCCTGGCCTGCGGCAAGAGCAGCACCCCACTAGTGCCACGGCCTGTGGCAAGCGGAATTCCTCATATTCTCGGTACGCTTCGCGTCGCCTGGCCGGTCTGCTGGATGGGGGTCCGGGGGGTCTCCCGTGTGCTTGGGGGCTCCTCGGTGTGGTGTAAAGCGGAAACGTCCCGAGACCGTGCGGCCAGTCGCCCCGAATCCCGGCTGACTCACCACACGGTGTGGCCACACAGCGCCGTCTGGGGCCCCGGAGAAACCCAGAATCTTCAACGTGCGAAGATCGGTATAACATACACTTTTTCGCTGTCGGAGACGCCTGTTCCATGGCGGCTGAAAAAATTATACCCTCACGGTGGTTCGTCAAAATAAAAACTGCCCCGCCGCTTTGGGGCAGCGCCCCTGGTGACGGAATAATTATTTTATACCTCTCTTCGCCCGCTGAAATCTGAAGGGGCAGGTCCTTAGGATCGGACACCTTGTCAGGGGCACCAGACCTCCGACGATGCGACTCTTTCAGCGCGGGGCCCCAAGAAGGTCCCAACCCCTCCCCTCAATCAGAATAATAATAATACGAATAATATCAATCATCATGATAATGAGAAGAATACGAATAACGAACAAAACAACTGCATCAACACAAACTTGTGGCGCTTCGCGCTGATCTCTTGGATCCGCGCGCGCGCGCCAGGGGCGGCGCCGGAGGCGCCGCCAGGTGGTCCCAGCGCAGATCCAAGAGATCCGCGCGGAGCGCCCAAAGTTAGTTTCGGCCCTTTTTTCTTCTCCGATCACTGGCGCTTTTTGATTTTGGATCCATCCCTGATGGCCAGACCCGATCGCGGCCCCAAAGGGCCGCAGTCGAAGCAGAGGGCGGATATTGAAACAAATCACACCGTCGGAGGCCTGCGCGGTCGAGCCTCCCTCTCTGGCACCAGCGCCAGCGCCTCCTCCAGCGAGCGCCGCGCCGCAGCCAAGAGGTCCGCGCAGTCCTCGGGGACGCGCTGATCCCGGCCAACCAGGTCCGTGTGAGCGACGACGAATACACGGGTCTGACGCGAGATGACATAGCGACCGTACGCGGTCGCTTACGCGGGCCGCCCGAGCGGCACGCTGTTTGGGAGAAGAGGACGCCTACGCGCGACCTTACGCGGACAACTTACGCGCCACTGTCGCCGCAGACGACCCCCTTTTTTTGCGTCGCTCATGTCGCGGCGCGGTAACGCGGGTCAACCAAGGCCAGATATGGCGAACCCCCGTCCAACCACAACCTGGCTCCCCAAACCCGGGCCCGTGGAAGCGGAGGGGGGAGAGGAAGACTTGGCCACACAAGGCTGCCCACACCCGGGTCAGCACGAGGGGATCAGGCGGGGATTGTAAAAGAAAAAGAAGAAACATAAAAAAACAGCATAATAATAACAATAATAAAAAGAAACATAAGACGAAGAAGAAGAAGAAGCAGAAAAGACGCCATACGTACAATTTTTTGGCGCTGCACGCGAATTTCTTGGGTATGCGCTGGGTGCCTCTCCCTGGCGCCCGGAGCGCGCCAGCGGCGGCGCTGAAGCGCCGCCGGGGGGTGGGCCCAGCGCGGGTCCAAGAAATCCGCGCGGAGCGCCAAAAGTTAATGTTGATAGCCTTTTTGTTGTTGTTGCTGTTGTTGTTGTTGTTGTTGTGGTTGTTGTTGTTGTTGTTGGTGTTGGTGCTGTTGTTGTTGTTGTTGTTGTTGTTGCTGTTGTTGTTGTTGTTGTTGTTGTTGTTGTTGTTGTTTTTGTTTTTGTTTTTGTTGTTTTTGTTGTTGCTGTTGTTGCTGTTGTCGTCGTCGTCGTTGTCGTCGTCGTCGTCGTCGTCGTCGTTGTGGTTGTTGTTGTTGTTGTTGTTGTTGTTGTTGTTGTTGTTGTTGTTTTCCCCTTCTTCTTCTTCTCCTTCGACTGGGGGGATCGGAGGGGGCTTGGCCGACCCCCTCAGCGCCGACCCTCGCCACGTCCGGCCCGATGCCCCCCGCCCAGTCATCTCTCGGGCCACGCAGCTCGGGCCGCAGGCGGCCGGTCGAGACGAGCCGCCCCTCCCCGGGAGCGCCCTCGACGCGGCGCGGCGGATGGCAACCACCACGTGGGACGCACAGAGACATGCTACTACCACATGACCACACCGCTCCCTGGCCCGAAGCTCAAAAACACGCCAAAGGGGCGGCGAACTCGTCGGCGCACCTCGCGGGATGCTGGGGCCTCCCGTGCAGTTTCAACCTCCCAGGCCTCCAAGGAGCACACGGTGCCTTCCAGGACGTTCAAGGTCGCCAACACGCCCACGGAGGAGCCCCGAAGCAGACATAACACAGCCTCAAGACGGCCCAACATACTAATACTAGGTATCCACCTGGAGGTGTGCGTCCGATCCGAACATATAGCATATCCATCTTGCATTATATCGTTTCCCCCTATGGTGTGGCCAGAAAGCGCCCGCCACGACGCATGCGCTGTAAGATTTCTCGGTGCGCGCGTCGCCCCTGGGGGGACGACGCACATACAGTAGAAACATGTTGGGGTGACGCCGACCACAGGCCCCGAAGACCTTCGAAAACTCACCTTCCGAACGAGCCTTCCGAACACCTACCTCTGAAGGCATCCGAAACTTCCGAAAACGAAACAGGAACATACGACATCTAAACTTTCGGACACCTGGGATGGGTACGGAAAAATTGGTCATGTCCAACAGGATAACGGTTGTCCCAAACCGACAGCGTCTGCGGCAACGCGAACAATAAATCCTGCTCAAATGGGCAAACATTGCTGCCGGTCTTTGTCCCCAATATTTCCGTACCTATGTGGGTCGTACCAACCGTCACGTGCCCACGCGAACGTTAGAGCGTTCTTTGGTTCGCGGCATTCGGGGACGCGGGGGGGCAAATCCAAACGCGCCAGCTGGTGCTGGGGGGACCCCGCGACAATGAAAGCAACAACGACCGCATAAGCGTACACTTTTTCGAAGGTCCGCGCGGACTTCTCGGATCGGCGCTGGACGCCGCCAGGAAGGTCCAGCGCCGATCCGAGAAATCCAGAGAGGAGCTCCGAAAACTTATGCCTGTGCGCTTTTGTGCTTCTTCAATATTGCGCTTAGCCGTTTGAGCAGGGACCGACCGTCCCGGCATTCCTATAGCCCTAGCACGAGATGTTCTTAGAACCCAAAAAATGTTCTAATAACAAAAGCAATGTTCTTAGAACATAAACATGATGTGATAAAACAAGACAGACTCCGCCAGACATGTTCTACGAACATTTCGTGGAAACCTCAAAAGGTTCTTAGAACATTGTTTGCTAGGGCTATAGGCGAGCCAGGGCGCTTCGCCACTGCTTGATAGCTGTTGCCTGCCCCCCGAAGTCCGGCTCGTCGGCAGCCCGGCCGCCACACCGCGCGGCGTGCGCGTACAGGGCTGCCACCTGTGCGCACCGCAGCGCCAGCAGCCGCGCGGAGACGCGCAGGTCGCGCGCGTACTCCTCCGCCTGTGCCAGAGAGGCGGGCGCGACGATGTGAATCCCACCTTGGCCCTCTGGGCTGAGGTGGGTTGGAGCATGTCCTGTTCCATCCTCCCCCCTCATTCCCTTTCGGGGGGGGGGGCCCTCCCCTCTCCTCCTCCTCCTCCTCCTCCTCCTCCTCCTCCTCCTCCTCCTCATCCTCCTGCCCCTTCTCCTCCTCCTCCTCCTCCTCCTCCTCTTTCCCCTCCTCCTCCTCCTCCTCCCCTTCCCCCTCCCCTCAGTCTGGGCGGCCCAGGGGTTAGAGCGTCCAAGGGGTTGGATCGTCGGGTGCGCCGACTGACAACCGAACTCCATCCATCTTAGCACAGCTGGTTTCTCTTCCCCTTTCTCCTGCTGTCTCTGCTTTTGTCTTGTCCGTTGCACTGTTAGCTGTCGTCGCCGTTTCAAGTCGTAGAGGGACAGGCCGACTTAAGCCTAGGAAGAGGGGGACCATGCAGAAGGGTGCTGGCGTGTCACGGCCCGAGGCACGTGCGCGGACGAGAGGGGGCGGGGTGGGGAGGGAGTGTGTTGAAAAGGAGGAGGGGGCCACGACTCTGGGAGATGCCATCGCCCCCGCGCGGAGCGCGCCAAGGGCGGCGCCAGAGGCGCCGCCGGGGGGGCCCAGCGCGGATTCAAGAGATCCGCGCGGAGCGCCTCAAGTCTACGTTTGTGGCTTTTCTGGTTCTTCGACGACATGAGTAATTACGGGAAAAATGGGTACGATGTCCAACAACACATGTTCTCCAAAACCGACAGCGGCCGCTGCTGGGCATGCGGCCTTCTGTCTCCAATGGACAACATCCGCGGCGGCGCGGACAGCGAGTCTTGTTCGAAATGAACAAGAACTGCTGCTGGGCATCGTACCCATTCTGTCCGTACCCATTTCGTTCGCGCCGAATCAAGGACGCCCCCTGCCCCGGGGCAGTCAGACAGTAGCCGAGGGGACGACAGACTGCCCCGCAAGGCAGGGTCGAGAGGTCTCAGTTTTTTGAGCTTAATGGGTAGCCCACGTCGAAGCGCACGGCCCACAGCAAAACGCGCGGCCCAGCCTACGGACACGTCAGGTGGTGTGACAGGGGAGGGGGGGGTATTTTTCAGGAGTGGGGGTGCAGGAGTGGGGGTGCAGGAGGAGGAGGAGGAGGAGGAAGAGGACGAGGACAAGGAGGAGGAGGAGGAGGAGGACGAGGAGGAGGTTCCGAGCTACGTGCGAGGAGGAGGACGAGGAGGAGACGTCTCGAGAGCACCGCACAGCAGGGGAGAGGAGACGTCTTGGTGGGGGAAGCGTCCCTCGCGCAAGACCTGCCGTCGCTCGGGCGTCCGTTCCCTGTGCTTTTGCTTTTCGGTCCCGCGCGTTCTTCGCTCGTGGTACCCCTGCATCGCTGCCGCGCTGGAGCGGATCGTCCCGCCTCGCTGCCGATTTTTTTTTTTTTTTTTTTTTTTTTTTTTTTTTTTTTCCCCCCTACGCTAGACGGGGAACAATCAACACATTACTATAAACTCTTGGGTTCGCGCTGGACCCCCCTCCCTGGCGCGCGGAGCGCACCAGGGGCGGCGCCGGAGGCGCCGCCTGGGGGCCAAGGCGCGGATCCGAGAAATCCGCGCGGAGCGCCAAAAGTTTATGTTCATGAGATTTGCCCCTCTTCGATTCGCACGGTGACCCACGATGCTCCCTAGAGGGCGCCCGCCGGGAAGCAGGCACGCGGCCAAACGGTGCTAAAAGGAGGCATTTTCGCCGTCTCGGCGGCTCGAGGGATGTCGCAGGGGGATGGGGGTCGGAGCTCTGGTCGGAAATTTCTCACGGTGTGGCATCGTGCTCGCGATGCCTGACCTCAGGGCCGTGACCTCCGATGTCGGAGGTCTAAAGTGCACCTCGGGCGGAAGACGTAGATAAAACACATGGAGTAGGAAGGCGTCGAAAGTAGATTGGGCTTCCGCCCGCCCCCTGAAGAGGGTGGAAGAAGGAAAGACCGCTCGACTCTCGAAGTGGGAAGGCTGCTAAAGTAGGCTGGGATCTGTGAGTCCAGAAATACATACTTTCAACGACCGATGTGTAATTCATTTGCGGGGCATTTTCTTCGTTGTCTTTTCTTGTTGACCTCCCTGCGGCCCAGTGAAGGCCCCAGGGCGCGGGGTCAAGCCCTCTCGCGGCGCGCTGCCCAGGAGAAGCATGCCATACCTATCCCGCGTGACTCGCAGTTGCAGAACCCTGGGTACTGCGGCAGGATACTGCTGATGGCCATGGGGCCCTGTGAGGGCCCCCCATAGGGCGAAGATGGTGAAAAACTTCCCGCCGCGCTGCTTTCCACGACACGACTTCTGGAGGCTCCGCCTGGGGGGGCGCCGCTGGGAGCGCGTCGAACCGGTCGGCGAGCTCCGAGAACGTGGAGTTCATCTCGGCCAGGAGCGGGCGCAGGTGCAGGTCGTACCACCGCGCACGGTCCGACCGGAGCGTGAAGAACGTGGTGTAGAAGAAGCCCGCGATGTCGCTGGCCACCTGGTGTAGAAAGCATGCGTACGCCACCGCAGTGTCTAGAGGCCTCCTGGATGGGGTCGGAGTAGATGGGGTCGGAGGAACGCGCCGCATCGGCGATACGTCGGCGATGCATCGGCGCCGTCGGCGCGGAGAAAATCGGGCTTCACATCGAGCCGCGTCGCCGATGCATCGGCAATGCAGCACGATCCTCCGACCCCATCTAATCCGACCCATCTGGGAGACCTAGATTGTCTGGACAGGGTCATCCTGGGCCCTGGCATGGTGTATGCGCCTTCCTGGCGGAGGCCAGGAGGGGCTCTACACACCATCGTAGAGCCCAAAATGGCTCTGGCCAGGCAGGGTGGTGATGGTGTGCAGATGCCGTCTGCGGACACCCACCTTGCAAAACCACACGGCATCGAATCGGATCGGGCGCGCCAGGACGCACATCTGCGCCGTGCGGACACATGGCCACAACGGCTCGCTCGAGGACTGGGACCGAATCGGGCCGTGCCCCACGGACACGACATCTGATCGGATCGCTGGAATCGGCATGGGCCCTGACCTTGCCGAATCGACCGAAGCCGTTGAGGAGCACCAGGAACACGGAGAGCCGGGACTCGTACCAGAGGTCTGAGAAGTGGAGGCGGTCGGGCTGCGGGGTGCCGTGGTGCGAGAAGCGCCCGATCACGAGGCTGGCGATGTCCGAGAGCCCCTCGGAGCCCATGATGTAGGCGATGCCGGTGACGGTCCCGCTCTTCGTCCGCGGCGCCGGCGGAGTCCCCGGCAAGCCTCCGATGAGGAGCCGGCGCTGCGCCACCGCGAAGTCGTCGAGCAGGGCCACGAGCGCGTCCCGGTACGGGCGCTCGAGGAAGCGGAATAGGTGGGCGAAGACCGCCGTGACATTCTCGAACCTTGAGGAGGAGGAGGAGGAGGAGGAGGAGGAGGAGGAGGAGGAGGAAGAGGAGGAGGAGGAGAAAGATGAGGAGGAGGGGCCTGGAACTTGGCACCAGCACCAACACAGGGCGGGCCTCCCTGTGGAACAAAACGGTCCTGGATTCTGGTACTGGTGGTAATCCATCGACGATCGGGCCACCTGAGATGCCCGAGTCCGCCGATCTGGCGTGTGAGTTTTGAATAGCTACAGCCTGAGCTTCAGCCCTACTGGGGTGGGGGCAGGGGTCGTTCTGCCGGGGGAGTGGGCGGGGGGAGAGGGTGTCTACCAATTCGGGGGCCGTTCCCGCGCCGCAGGAGGAAGGGTGTGGGGGCGCCTTGGCCGGGGAAGGGTGAAGGGGTGGGGGGCGGCGACGCCGCCAAGTCTGCCAAAACGGCCCAAGAGAACTCCTACGCGCCCAAAGACGGACCAAGATGCCCAAACAGTGTTTGAACGGAATCTCCGAGAGGGAAACATCCTTGATTTTCCTTGTACTCTTCTTTCATATGGTTCGGGGTTCTCGCCTTTTGAGCTTCCGACGCTCCAAGACGGCCCAAGAGGCCCCCAAGACCGCCCCAAGACAACCCAAGAGGCCCACCCCAAAGCGCTCCAAGACGGCCCGAGAGGGCCTGGAAACAGCCCAGGACGCGCCCAAGGCGGCCCATGAAGGTTCCAGGATGGCTCCAACACGGAGAACTTGAACCGACGATTCGAGCCTTCCGCCCCAAGTGGTCCCCAGGACGCCCCAAGAGGCCCTCGAGAGGCCCTCCAGAGGCCCCAGGGGGCTTCAAAAATGCCCCAAGAGGCTCCCAAGAGGCCACCAAGAGGCCCACAAGAAGCTTCACAGCTGCCTCCGAGAGGTCCTGGAGAAACTCCCCACGAGATCCCAACGAACCTCCAAAAAGCCTTGGACCCACAACCCAGCACGGTGGCGGGATGGGCCGAAAACCACCAGGTCCGCCGCCCCCTGCCTGCAGGGGTGCACGGCGTGCTGGACGTTTCAGGTTTTGGTTTTGGTTCTTTTTCCCAAAGAACTCCCCAGTGGGCTCCGGCAGAACCCGCCGGCCACCCGGAATTTTCCCAAACGTGCTCAACGACCGCAAAAAATCCTCCAAGAACGGCCGTTTCGCTCGGGACATCCTCAAAAAATCGCGAAGATGGCCCAAGATGGCCTCCAAGTCCGCCCGAGATGGTCCAAGACGGCCTCCAAGACGGCCCAAGAGAGTCCAAGACGGCCCAAGACGGCCCAAGAGGCCCCCCAGAGGCCTCCCAGACGGCCCAAGAGGCCTCCAAGAGGTCCTCCAGGAGAGTCCGAAGAGGCCAAAATCATTGATTTTCCATTGGTTTTTGAAGGATTCTGGCATTTGCGCCTTTTCGGCTCTCCGACGGCTCGAGACGGCCCAAGAAGCCCCCAAGATCGCCCAAGAGGCCCCCAAGAGAGCCCCCTGATGGCCCAAGTGGCCTCCAAGATGGCCCCTAGAGGGCCCCAAGAGGGCCCAAGAGGCCTCCAACACGCCCAAGATGGCCTCCAAGACGCCCAAGATGGCCTCCAAGACGGCCCTGGAGCGCCCCAAGAGGGTCCCCCGTTGGCCCAGAAAGGCCCCCAAAACGGCTCCCGACGGCGTCAGACGTGCCAGGAACCCACCAAGATGGCCGAAGTTGGCTCGAAGCTGGCCCAAAAGGGCCCAAGAGGCCCCCAAGAGGGCCTCCAGGAAGGCCAAAAGATGCCAAAATCACTGATTTTCCAAAGGTTTTTGATGGATTTGGGCATTTCCCTTTTTTCGGCCTTCCGACGGCCCGAGACGGCCCAAGAGCCCCCAAAGATCGCCGAAAGATCGCCCAAGAGGCCTCCAAGACGGCGACGATGACCATCAAGACGCCCACGTGTTCCCCGAAGGCTTTCCAAACCGATTCGGGGAACACATGGTCCGATGGCTTGGCAGGTCTGGCCTCAACGTTCGGCCACATAGGCGCTTCCACAAAGGCAGGGGGCGGCGGTGATTCGCCGTAGGCGTCTTCGATCCGCCGCACCCTGCTTGCAGGGGTGCACGGCGTGCTGGATATTTCAGGTTTTGGTTTTGGTTCTTTTTCTAAAAGAACTCCCCAGTGGGCTTCGGCCCGTCCCGCCGGCCACCCGTAAATTGCAGAAAATCCGTCTGTCAATGCCCAAAAACGGCCGTTTCGCTCGGGACATCCTCAAAAATCGCGAAGATGGCCCAAGATGGCCTCCAAGTCCGCCCGAGATGGTCCAAGACGGCCTCCAAAACGGCCCAAGAGAGTCCAAGACGGCCCAAGACGGCCCAAGAGGCCCCCCAGAGGCCTCCCAGACGGCCCAAGAGGCCTCCAAGAGGTCCTCCAGGAGAGTCCGAAGAGGCCAAAATCATTGATTTTCCATTGGTTTTTGAAGGATTTTGGCATTTGCGCCTTTTCGGCTCTCCGACGGCTCAAGACGGCCCAAGAAGCCCCCAAGATCGCCCAAGAGGCCCCCAAGAGAGCCCCCTGATGGCCCAAGTGGCCTCCAAGATGGCCCCTAGAGGGCCCCAAGACGGCCCAAGAGGCCTCCAACACGCCCAAGATGGCCTCCAAGACGCCCAAGATGGCCTCCAAGACGGCCCTGGAGCGCCCCAAGAGGGTCCCCCGTTGGCCCAGAAAGGCCCCCAAAACGGCTCCCGACGGCGTCAGACGTGCCAGGAACCCACCAAGATGGCCGAAGTTGGCTCGAAGCTGGCCCAAAAGGGCCCAAGAGGCCCCCAAGAGGGCCTCCAGGAAGGCCAAAAGATGCCAAAATCACTGATTTTCCCAAGGTTTTTGATGGATTTGGGCATTTCCCTTTTTTCGGCCTTCCGACGGCCCGAGACGGCCCAAGAGCCCCCAAAGATCGCCGAAAGATCGCCCAAGAGGCCTCCAAGACGGCGACGATGACCATCAAGACGCCCACGTGTTCCCCGAAGGCTTTCCAAACCGATTCGGGGAACACATGGTCCGATGGCTTGGCAGGTCTGGCCTCAACGTTCGGCCACATAGGCGCTTCCGCAAAGGCAGGGGGCGGCGGTGATTCGCCGTAGGCGTCTTCGATCCGCCGCACCCTGCTTGCAGGGGTGCACGGCGTGCTGGATATTTCAGGTTTTGGTTTTGGTTCTTTTTCTAAAAAAACTCCCCAGTGGGCTTCGGCCCGTCCCGCCGGCCACCCGTAAATTGCCGAAAATCCGTCTGTCAATGCCCAAAAACGGCCGTTTCGCTCGGGACATCCTCAACAAATCGCGAAGATGGCCCAAGATGGCCTCCAAGTCCGCCCGAGATGGTCCAAGACGGCCTCCAAAACGGCCCAAGAGAGTCCAAGACGGCCCAAGACGGCCCAAGAGGCCCCCCAGAGGCCTCCCAGACGGCCCAAGAGGCCTCCAAGAGGTCCTCCAGGAGAGTCCGAAGAGGCCAAAATCATTGATTTTCCATTGGTTTTTGAAGGATTTTGGCATTTGCGCCTTTTCGGCTCTCCGACGGCTCAAGACGGCCCAAGAAGCCCCCAAGATCGCCCAAGAGGCCCCCAAGAGAGCCCCATGATGGCCCAAGTGGCCTCCAAGATGGCCCCTAGAGGGCCCCAAGAGGGCCCAAGAGGCCTCCAACACGCCCAAGATGGCCTCCCAGACGCCCAAGATGGCCTCCAAGACGGCCCTGGAGCATTCCAAGCGGGCCCCAAGTCGGCCCATAGAGGCCCCCCAAACGGCTTCCGACGGCTTCAGACGTGCCAGGAACCCACCAAGATGGCCGAAGTTGGCTCGAAGCTGGCCCGAGACGGCCCAAAAAGCCCCAAAGATCGCCCAAAGCTTGCCCAAGAGGCCTCCAAGACGGCCAAGATGACCTTCAAGATGCCCACGTGTTCCCCGAAGGCTTTCCAAACCGATTCGGGGAACACGTGGTCCGATAGCTTGGCAGGTCTGGCCTCAGCGTTCGGCCACATAGGCGCTTCCAAAAAGGCAGGGGGCGGCGGTGATTCGCCGTAGGCGTCTTCGATCCGCCGCCCCCCCCCTTGGCTTGCCACAAGGGTGCTCGGCGTGCTGGATGCTCTGACAAGTTTTTGGTAAAGACTCCCCCTGGGGCTTCAGCGCAGCGCGCCGGCCACCCGGAAAGGGTGGTTGCCAAGGTTTTTCCTGCTCTGGATGGCTCTAAAATGGCCCACGATGGGTTCCAAGACGACCAACATGGCCCCAAAGTTCGCCCAAGATGGTCCAAGACGGCCTCCTCGACGGCCTAAGAGGGTCAAAGATGACTCTCAGTCCGCCCAAGAAGCCTCACAGGCCCAGGAGTCCCCCAAGAGGCCCAGAACACGGCTCAAAAGGCCTCCAAGAGGTCCTCCAGGAGGGTCCGCAGAGGCCAACATCATTGATTTTCCGCAGGTTTTGAAGATTGCCCCCAGAGCGTCCGAGACGCCTCCAAGATGGCCCCATAATAGCCCAAGTGGTCCTCAAGACGGCCCCAACAGTGCCACAAGACGGTCCAAGAGGCCTCCGAGACGCCCAAGCTGACCTCCAAGACAACCTTCAAGTTCCCCAGAGTGCCCCAAGTCGGTTCAGAGAGGCATCCAAGACGGCTTCCGACGGCGTCAGACGGGCCAGGAACGCCCGAAGACGGCCAAAGCTGCCCCCAACAAGCCCCCAAAGGCTCCCAAGAGGCCCAAGGAGGCCCCCAAGAGGCCTCCAAGAGGCCACCAGGAAGCTCCCAGGAGACCCCAAGAGTGCCCCAAAAGACTTCCAAGAGGCGTCCTCCTCCTACTACTCACTTTTCATTATTCGCCTCATTCTCCTCTTCCTGAGGCGACTGTCAACACCCTCCTCCTTCCCCTCCTCCTCCCTCTCCTTTTCCTCTCCTCCTCCTCCTCCTCCTCCTACTACTCCTCCTCCGTTCCTTGTGCTCTCGCCTCAGCGCCGCGCGCATTCGTTCCAACAAATTGCAAGAGGTGCACGGATTGAGGGCGGGTGGCTTTCAAACTGTGGATCTCGCCTGGTGAGCTCCGTGCACATTCATTGTAACAATTTGCAAGAGTTTCGCTTGTTGAGGGCGCATGGTTTTCAAACAAGTTGTCTCTCGCCTCCGTTTGAACATGTATAACAAAGTTTACAGATTGAGGGCGGTTCGTTTTCAACATGTGGTTCTCGCCTTGGCGCCGCGCACATTCGTGGTGATTTTTTGCAAGAGTGACACTGATTGAAGGCGGGCCGTTTTATTAATGTGGCTCTCGCCTTAGCGCCCCGCACATTCGCTCTAAACAAATTGAAACAATTCGCAGATTGAGGGCGGTTCCTTTTCACAATGTGGCTCTCGCCTTAGCGCCGCGCGTGTTCGTTTGAAACAGTTGCAAAGAGTTTCACTGAATCTAAGGTTCATGTACCAGAAATGGTGTTTTGGAACGACTCAGGATTATCAGGGCGCAACAGTTCTACGTATTCGCGGTGTCGAAGTCCCAGGAATGGCGCTCCGGCACAATTTAGGACAAAGACGTCACAGTCACATGAACTCGTGGCGTTGAAGTCCTGAGAATGGTGTTTTGGCACGCTCCAAGATGTTCACACGGTTGTCTCCCAACGGGGCAATTCCCTCAGTGGCCCATGCAGTGGCCTGTGAATAGGGATTTTGGAGGGAGGGTGCATTTCAACATCGTTGACGAGTCTTGGGTTTACACTGGTCCTCCTCCTCCTCCTCCTCCTCCTCATCCTTCTCTCCCTCCTGCCTGCTCGAGGTTAAGCCGGCCGGAGGACTCTACATTCTTACTTACCATCACCGAGATCGGGATCATCTTCCCTCGGTGGAGGCAATCCCCGATACTGATGTTGGTGCCTACATCTAGGCCTCCGAGAACCTCCGCCACGCCACCGCGGCCTGGGCGGAGTTGGCGAGCCAGTAGCCCCACTCCCAGCCGCTCTCGAAATTGAGCTGCCCCATGGGCCTCGACGGGCTGGAGATTTCGTCTAGGAGCAGGGCGTCCTCAACCCTCGAGCTGGCGTACACGGGGGCCAAGAATATCGGCACCGAGATATCGTAGTTCACCCAATATGCGGTCTCCGGGTAGAAGACCACGGGCCGGCCAGCCTTCATGAGGAAGGCCGTCCAGTTAAGCAGGTCCGAGAAATCCTCGTTGCCGTAGGTCGGAGCCCTGTCGCGGAGCGAATAGATCTGGACGGTGTGGGGCATGGCGACTATGTCAGGGCTCGCGTAGTAGCTCAGATACTTTAGAAAAACAAGCGGCAGAAATATGAGCTTTCGGAGGTACGCGCGGACTTTCTTGGATCAGCGCTGAACCCCCCTGCCTGGCATTGGGTGGCGCCGGACGCGCCGCCAGGAGGGTCTAGCGCCGATCCAAGAAATCCGTGCGGACCTGCAGACGTTCGTGTTTACACCTTTTGCTCTTCCTCGATAGTTGAAATTTATGTCCCCGCTCACCCCCGGGCGTGGGTCCGGGTAGCCCCTTGCGTGCTGCGCGGTCGAGCAGTGCTGCTTCACGAGCACGCGGCGCCCCGGGCCCATCGCCTCGTTGGCGACGTTCAGCAGGGCGATCACTTCCTTCTCGCTCAGCCCCTTCGTAAACTCCGTGGAGCCCATCTCTGTCCCCAGGTGGTCGAACCCGCAGTCCTGGGGAAACAAACCCATACCGATGCCGCTGCTCTCCAGACCTCTCCCAGGGGTGCATTCTGACCAGAATCTCAAGGATAATCCAGCCGTGGTGAGAGGGCTCTCCAGGACGAGCGGCGGTATCGATACCTTCCCCCCCTCCGAGATCCAGCAGCCAAGCGACCCTTCGCCGCACCTCCTGGAGGTCCCGGGAGCGGTTCGAGGTCATCCTGGGCAGCAGGCTCAGGGCGTGCTGCTGCTGTAGCGTCAGCGGCACGTCCGCGCCGACCTCGATGCCGCGCTCGTGCGCGAGCCCCACGAGCACGCGCAGCCGCTCCTGGCGCTCCGCGCTGAGCTGGAAGCTGCCCGCAGTCGTGGCGACCTTTGAAGGGGCCCTGGGACACGCAAATAAATAGACACAAATAACAGGATTCCCCATATTTCCACATATGTTTCTGGATGTTTGCCTTCCCCCCCACTTCCCACACTTTCCCATCTCCTCCTGGGAATCGACGATTAATTCCTCTCCTGAACCTTGTCGGTCAGAAGCATCCACTCGAAGTACGACTGCTTGTGGGCGAGCATCCAGTCCAACACGGACTCCCACTCGGGCAGCAGCTCGGCCCAGCGCTCCCTGGAGGAGCTCTCGCCGTCCACGTCGAAGCCGTTCAGCAGGCTGGTGAGCTCGAGCGGGTGCTGCGTGTGGTAGTGCGTGCCGCGGAAGCCCCACCTGGAGGGGGACGACAGTGACTACCTGCCAGGCCACCCCAACCCAACCCGAAGACTCCAATTTCGGGTTGGGGGGGGGGGTACGGGCTTCATATGTGTTTTTTCCATTGTTCCCCGACCCCCCCCCACTGGAGATGGAGGGCAAATCGGGGCCTTTGGGTTGGGGTGGGGTGGTCTGGTGGACGGTGAGAAAAAGGGGCAGGGCCCTGGCTCGACGGGGGAATGGCTGACCCGGAACCGGGGACGCGCCGCCGATGCATCGGGGGTAGGCCTAGGTCGGGCGTGTCCCCCTGCAGGCGGATTTTGGACGAAACATTGGAAAAACACTAAACATACACACAAGACAAAATCAAACATTGTCAACAAAATCGTGCCCAGATTATGTTTGAACTATTTTTGAATATTCCTCCTGTAGCGGGACATGCCCGACTGAAGGGTAGTACCGGGTAGGCCCTCGACAGCAAGAGCCGGACGTGCTGAGCAGGGCTCGAGCTAAACAATGTCTTTCGTTATCGTGTTGTCTTCGTTTTCCTTCGTTCTGTCTTCGTTCCACCTCTTCTGCGGAGCGACATCAGAACGGAAACGGTCAACGGAATCGCAAAAAAGCACCGTTAAGCTCGAGCCCTGGTGCCGAGCTGGCCCATGGGTTTCGGCGGGCTGGAGGTTTCGTCCAGGAGCAGGGCGTCCTCTGCCCTCGAGGCCAGTCCCCCTCTCTAGGCCAATCCCCCCCATAGCAAAACAAGAAAACACTGCATGAACATAGCCCTTCGGGATCTCCGCGCGGATTTCTTGGATCGGCGGTGGACCGCGCGCCAGAGGCGGCGCCAGAGGCGGCGCCAGAGGCGCCGCCATGGGGGAGCCTGCGCCGACTCAAGAGATCCGCGCAGAGCGTCGACATCTTATGTCTACACACACATATATATGTGTATATATATATATATATATAATGGAATATCCTTCGGGATGTTATGCCTATGCCATGTCCATGACTATGCCATGTCCGTGCCTTCGGAATTTTACCTCCTTCGGAATTGTATGTCCATGTCTATGACATTTCATGCCAATGCAACTTTAAGTCTATGCCATTGGTCGAGTGCCCCCCCTTTCGGCGCCCCCCCCGTCGGCGTCCCCGACCACCTCGGGGTCTCCCGCACGTCCAGCTGCGGCAGTGGCGCGGGCAATGCTGGGGGCCTCCGGAGGATCAAACATCGGCACGCGGCATGTTCGTGTCGTGACGACCGCAGCGACGTTTGCTGACACCGCGTGGACCGATAGACCTCAAGCGATCGGCGGCTTTTCAACCGCCAATCGCCAGATCGTTCCATATTGGCAGAGTCTGGGCCAGGGCGGCGTTCGACACTCGAGCGCCCGCGGCGGCGTCGCCATCGCGTCGACACGACGCGAACCTACTGTATGTTTAGAAGAAGAAAAACCGGTGTAAACAAACAAAACTTTCGGTCCAGCGCAGATTCGAGAAATCCGCGCGGAGCGTCAACAGTTTATGTTGATGTGTTTTCCCCTTCTTCGAACGTTTGGTTGCTTGTTCCTGCCTCGGGCCTCGCCAGCTTCAGCGGGTGCAGGAAGGCGAAACCCAGCCGCTGCAGCAGCTCGAACAACGCAAAGCCCACCGCGCGGCGGGTGCGCCCCGCGCAGGCGAAGGCGTGCCGTCCGCCGGCGTCGCCCGACCTGACGATGAAGCCGTCGGCGGGCAGGGCCAGCACCTCCGCCTCGGGGACAATGCCCCGGCTCGCGGCCGAGTCGCCCAGCGCGACCAGCAGTCCCCCTCGGCCCCCCTGTCAGGGGCTGCGCGAAAAGGTTGGGCAGGATAGGGTGCCACATGCGTTGGTCTGAGGGGGGGGGTAAGTTACCCCCCCCCTCAGAAATCGTGGGGGGTAGGGGTAGGGTTCCCATCTGGCCCCCTACAGGAGAGGAGGGTCGGTTGAATTCGGCGAGCATCCAAACGCCCACAGGGAAATGTCATCCTCAAGCTGGGATCGTTTCCCAACCCCACCTTTAGGCCAGACCCCCCTCCAGGCACACTCGACTCTGGAGGCCGCCCAAATCGGCCTGGGCAAAACTCGCATTCAAGCACCCCATGAGCCCGTCCACTCTGGCTTGGCCGCGCGAACAAAGGCGGGTTACGACTTCTAAGAGAGTGGGGGGCTTAGAGGCAAGCTACCCACCAGCCGGAAGCCGTCTCTCACTCCCACCCGCCCTCCCAAAACATAAATAGCACCCTGGTCTCACTATGGACAGGGGCCACCATCGGCAACCATCGGACAATCCAAACGCCACTCAGGTGCGCGACGACTGCTATGTGCGCCGCGCGTGCCATGGCAGCCCCATCACACTTGCCAGCTAACAATGCACTATGTCATGTAGATATCAATATGAACGCCTCCCGGAAGATGAACATCTGAGTCTCAAGATGGGCTCGCTCCCTAACCGCTGGCTAACCCCACTCAGGGCAAACCCCCCTCAACGTACTCTCGACGTCGGGCCCCCAGGACCGTGTGGTTACTGATCGCGTGGTGACCTCGGAATCCCCAGCGACCTCACCGCGCGGTCCGTCGCCGCATGGTTTTGAAACGTCGGAGGCCCCGGTCGCACGAGACGCCCTCGGAGAGGTCGACAGGCGAGAAGGGGAACTTGTTCGGTCGAACGAAAAAATATGGCTGGGGAGCGAAGAAAATCATTCTCCCCAACGAGGGAATCCGGCAAAGCGAACCTTGACATTTTTTTCGGGCGAACGAGGAGACGCGCTTCTCGGGCGAACGGGCAAATCTCTGGACGCTCCTGGAAGAAACCACCTAACGCATCGAGAAGCTGGAACACCTAAAAAAAGGCCCGATCCCCTCGCTGCTCCGACACTTATCCCCATTGAAGCCTCCCTGTCCTGGTATACAGCGGAGCTAAGAAGACGTTAAGTTCAGGAAATGGCTCGCCCTGAACCTGCCCCGTGAGCCCCAATGAGAGGCCTCGATAAAAAAAACTCGAAAACTCCACCCTTGGCGAAAGAGTGTCGGTCATCCCGACTTATCGCTATTAGGGCACGTGAAAACGGGAATGGAACATCAAACCGACAACGCGATGATAACGACAACGACACCACACGATAACCGCTAACGCAACAACTACTCATTCATGCTGTGCCATGAGAGCACCTGCACCTACCAACACGTTAGTGCACAGCAAGCGCGAGCACGCCCGCTCGCCCGCCCACTCGCCCGCCTGGCCCGCCCGCTTATACCGCTTACTTTCGTCGGGTGGCTGCGCAAAGAGGCGAAACAAAATAGTGTTTTGTTCGACCCGCGAAGGGGGCGAACAATACATATCATTGTGCTGTACTCGCCACGTGGCAACGCAAGGTGCGGAAACACATTGTTCTACTCGTCAAGTGGCAACGCGCGACTGGGTGAAATTAATCATCTTCGTGAGTGTTTACGCAAGGGCGACAAAGAGGAAATGGTTCGGCGACGACGACGGCGACCAACACAGCGGTGAAACCAACAACGACGACGACGACGACGACGACGACGACAACGACGACGACGACGACGACGACGACGACGACGACCACACCCGCATCGTTCGCGCGCCCGCCCGCACGCGCGCTCGATCGTTCGCCCGCCCACGCGGCCCTTAGCTCGCCCGTCCGGGGGCCTGCCTGGTCGCCCGCTCGCCCGCTCGCCCGCCCGCGTGCCCGCCTCCCCGCCCGAGGCCCCTTATCCCCTCCACCCCCCTTTTTCGCCCCTCCATTGCTGGGCTTGACGGTCATCTACACCCTCAACAACCCCACGGTACCCTCAAGGACCCGTCAGAGTATTCATGAAATCCTTCGGATGGCCTCGGTCGCCGACTGCAGTCGTCGCGTGGCAACGCAGAGGGCGGGAACAAATGCAAGGCTGCTCTGCCCATCACACGACAACCCTGGAACGGCGAGCAACTAATAGTACCTTCTATTCACCGGGTGTCAAAACAGGGGGGCCGAACACATATCATTCCACGTCGCTCGTAATGTGGCAACACACAGCACGGAACAACAACTAATAGTTATGATTCTGGTCTAAAACGGAGTCAACGACGACGAGGACGGCGACAACGGCGACGACGAGGGCGACAACGACGACGACGACAAGACGTACGACCACGACAAAGACAACGACTACGGGGACGACCACTACCACGACGACGACGACGACGACGAATACGACGACGACGAGAACGACGACGACGACGATTACGAGGACGACCGCTATCACGACGACGACGAATACGGCGACCGACGACGACGATCCGCCCGCCGCTGCCTCCTCCCTCCCCCTCTCCACTCTGCTCATCCATCCATCCATCCATCCATTCTCCCTCCTCACGCATCACCCAATTAGTTGTTTGAAACCTTGCGCGCGAAACGGCCAAACGGCTGCACCCCTGAATCGACGTTCCAAGGCAAACCGACGCGGGCCGTTGCCCGAATTTTGAAACTCGAACGAGATGCGTCCGCCCGCGTTCACTTGCGGTTCTCTATTCTGGCAGCCTCCGCCCGCGACCGTGCCTCAGACTCACACGCTGATGGTGGAGGGCAGAGCACTCGCAAGACCCGCCCTCTATACTTTTGCGAACGTCCGCGCGGCACAGGCGAGCAACCGCTTACTTCGACCTACACTCCAGTGCCAGACAAGAGGGCACCGAAGCTGCCTGATGAAGCGCCGCCTGCAGGGAGCCCCAACCACGACGAAAGCAGATGCTCAGTACACCCCCCGACGGCGAGAGAAACCCAGAAAACCTGCAACCGCCGCAAGCCCGAAGCATGAGATGAAACCACGTCCCCAAACGCTAAATCAGAACATTCGAGAAAAGCGTTCTCCATTTTACCGCAACCAAGAGAAACTGTCCTCGCCCTCCCGAGAAAAAACCTGGCCACGCCCCGCAACGTTTTTCCGCTCGCCCGAAATAATTTCCCCGAGCGACGGAAGAGCGTTTCCCCACTTCGAAGCTGGATTTCCCCGTGGCCCGCCGGCTTTGATGGTTCACACCTCCGCCCCTCGGAGATCGAGCCGAACCACAACACCGTGCGGTGGCCCAGAACCCCAGTGACTCACCACGAGGCGTTGTCACCACACCGTAAAGGGGGCCCCCGCTCCGCCCTTGACGCCGCCAGAGCGTGTCATATGGGGCCGGAGGATCGCACCGCATCGTCGGTGCATCGGCGATGCGGAGCGACCCGCTCGGCGGCGCGAACCGAGGGGGCGGCCTTCTAAGGGGGGGGCGGTTCTACGAAGACGGGTGGCCCCTTAGAGACCCTCCTGTCTCCTGAGAGGGCTTCCTAGAAACCCTCCTGGGCTTCCAAGAGGGCTTCCTGAGAGGGCTTCCATGAGGGCTGTGAAGAGGCCGCTGCCGTCCAAAACGCACCCCGCCTTCTTTGAAGGCTGCCTGCTCCTCGCACCCCCCCAGTGTGCGCCACCAACGGGACCCGGTTGATTTGCGGCGGCCCCGAGGAGGAGAGGAAGGAGCAGGAGCAGGAGGAGGAGGAGGAGGAGGAGGAGGAGGAGGAGGAGGAGGAAGAGGGGAAGGTGGAGGGGAAGGTGGATGAGGAAGAGGAGGAGGAGGAGGAGGAGGAGGAGAAGGAGGAGGAGGAGGAGGAGGAGGAGGAGGAGGAGGAGGCGGAGGCGTGCGTAGCCGTCCTGTCCTGTCCTGGCGTGCGTTCTGGCCTGGGGGGGAGCCCAGCCGTGGCGTAGAGGGCGCCTCTCGGGAGGCCCGGAGAAGGCTACCAAACACGCTCAAGGAGCTCCTCGAAGTTCGACGACGACGACGACGACGACGACGACGACGACGACGACGACGGCGGCGACGGTGACGGCGAGGGAACGCGGGCCGCTCGGGGCCCTGTTTGGGCGCGTCGTGGGGCCCTCGGGGAGCCCTCGCGGGCCGCCTTGGTGCCCTGTGCGAGCCCCCTCGGGCTGCCTGGGCGTCCTGTTGGGGTCTCTCGGGCCCCTGCAGGAGCCACATTGAGCCCGAGGCGAGAGGGCGACGGCGACGGCGGCAACGAAAACGCTGGCGACGACGACCGCGTGGCGGCCTCGCCGTAAGGCTCCAGCAGCCGCCGCGCGGTGGCTGCGAGTGCCTCTCCTACGTCGCCGCCGACCTCCGCAGCGGGCGGCGGCAGCGGCGGCGGCGACCGCGGCGGAGGCGGCGGCGAGCATCGCCGCTGCCGCCGCTGAGGCTTCCGCGGCGGCGACGGCAGCGTGTTGGCCGCAGTGGCGGCGGCAACTTTCGGGCTTCCGAGGCTCGAGGTTTTCGGACGTTCTCGCTGGTTTTCCAGCCTCGGGGTGCCTTCCAGCAGCTGCGCTTCGCCGGCGTTGCGTTCTGGGGGTGCCCGGATCGTCCCGCACGGCCGCTGGAGAGCGGAGCTGTGACCCGAAAGCCAAGGGGCAGAGACAGGTTGAGATACGGTGGGGGCGTTGACTTAAGGAACCCTAAATTCGCCGGCCCAACGGGCCAGGGCGTGCTAAGATCTCCGGTAACTGGTTAACAGTATTAACAGTATTTCTAGTTCGCGCGCGCGGGGCGGCCCCTGGGGGTCCCCGGCGAAAAGTACCCCGACCAACGCCCGGTCGCCGCCCGACCAAGTCTACTCAGAGATGGTTTTCCTTCTGGGTGCGGCCTCTCAGGCTCCCCAGAGCGCGCTCAGAGTGCCCCAAGAGGCCCCCAAGACTGCCCAAGAGGCCCCCGAGACGCCCAAAGAGCGCTCGAAGACGCCGAAGATGACCCAAGACGGCCAACAGGGCCCCAA